TTCTCGTGAATCTCTGAAATTACTGCGTTTTCACATGACTGACGCACTCTGCGAACTCTTCAGCGGAAAGCACAGGAGGAGACCGAAAATCCGGCAAAAGAAGAACCCACAAACGCTTGTTACTACTTCATTGTAAATTAAAATACACCACTTCGCAACGCTTCAGTGAGCATTTGTGTGCCCTTCAGAGGGCCTCAATGTTGCAAATTTTCATTTCGCAACATTGTTGCAGCGCAAGATGTTGTGCAGTCTTTCACCACCACCTCTCAGTGCACATGGGAATAATTCAATTTGCCCCACAGAGTCACTTTCCTTAGAGTTCGAACGTCAGGCAATTTACTAACCGCGCGCGAAGTCTTTGCAATAAATTGGCGGGGAATCAAACGGACCGAAGAAAATCCAATCATGCACATTACTTTGCCGAGATAATCCTCTGTCAATAAGTAAATTTATCCATTTGAGTCTCTAGTTTTGCTGGTTGATTAACCCTCTCCAGGCCCCCTGCGAAAAAACTCCTCGCGAATTCCACGGCAATTGTGTTCTTCCCTGCGTGGAATTTCTCCGGCCGATTATCATTCCAGGCGATCTCTGAAATCTTCATTGGTGATCGCTTTGACACCGGAGTGTCACTGTCAGGGCCTCGGCCCACTTGTTGCCGCCCGCGAGGGGTTGAAGATGGCAAATTAATATCGTCTGGAAGGCGCACAGCAAGACCACAAAGACGCAACCTTGAAAGTCTGCAGTCTTTTGGGCATTCCTCCCCATCCTTCTTGGTTCTTCTGCTGCCAGCCAACGTGCCTTGCGACGAGACGATGAATTGAGATGAAATTTATTGTTTCAATTCTCTTGTTTTTCGCCACGTCTTCGCAAGGGCGCGACTCAATTGACGATGAAAAGCCAGAAGGGAAATTAATTGAGCTTTCCTCTTCATTTGCTAGACTTTTTCGGCTCTAAACTTCTCTCTTGAAACACCTCGACTTTGTGTAGCCAAAATGACTGTGATAACTCAATAAATAAATTGAATTTATAGTAAGAAATAATGTCGCTTTTAAATCCCAACCTTGATCCCAACCATAAAACCATGCCTTGGCATCTACAAAGAGCCTTCCGCAGCTACATTGTTTCGTAATGGCGCAAAAGATGGTCAAGAAGAGACGATAAGAAATCCCGAAGCACTGAGCAATCTTGGGAAATTCCTTTTCGGGATGTGCGCGGAAGATCATTTAAATTCTGACGATGTTGCTGAATCGGCAGATAATCCCGAAACTTTCCATATGGGTGGATCATTAATTTCACTATCACTGTCCATCGGCTGAGGATAAGAATGCATCCAAGGCGGCGCTCAGGTGATAAAAAAGGCCTGAGCTAACATCAAAACCACCCATTTTCAACTCCCGCGAACATGCAGAATTATAAATGACTGGCGATTTTTGCTCAATTCATGCCAAAATGAGAGGAAATGGAATATCGGGCGATTATATTAATGACACAACATCGTCTGCAGATATTCTTGAGTCACTTTTGTTGCTGCCAAGAAGCGTCTCTTTGACATGAAAAATTGTCCCTATCGCAGTTTGTAAGACGAGACACAGACAGCACACAACTTTTTCATTCTCTTTCGCCACAAAAATACAAAACATAGCCGCGGACTTGCTCGCCACTTTTGACTCACTCTCGCGTCAATTTTTATTCGCCCAGAGGATTCCTTTGCCGGCAAGGGTGTCTAAATCATATCTCTTGGCCCGGCTTAATCGTTCTCACATGGTTTCGAGTGTGTCGTTAAATAAATTCCGCCCCGAAAAACCTCATTTCTGCCCGAATATTCAGCAAATTGTCCCATTTCGCTGTCGCGAGTGCAATGTTTTATGAATTCCCAAGGAATCTTTTTGGGCAATAATGTAGACCCAAAACGCGTTGTAAAATGTAAATTAAACAGGGTGTGTAAGAAACACAAAAACATCATTGATATTACAAAAGATTGCCATCCAAATTGCTATGACTTTTATGGGTTTCAGAATACGCACAGGGGGAATTCTAAAGAGCGTTGAAAATGTTTATTTCAGTTTGAGAAGGATAATATCATGTGCATCTACTTTCAATTTCCTCCTACTCAGAAATACTGCCCATTTTAAGTCTCCGCCCACAAAAGAGAAATTGTCAAGTGTATGTTAAATATGTGGACATATTCAAAGAAATGTATAATAATATGGAAGTTTGAAATGTGGTAAATTTGGAAATGAGCATAAAAAATGTTGACTTTCTTTGCGAAATTGGGTAGCTAACTGAAGTGGCCAATTGTATTAAATTCCCCTCCGTCGCTCGGTGACTGAGGCGTCCGGCGGTCGAATTGCTGGCGAGTGTCTGGGCTTCTGGGAGTCTGCGGGGCGCAGGGACGCCGAGGGAATGCGAGAGCGAGCGAGACGGTCGCCCTGACGACCGAAGCGCAGCGCACAACTCCGGTGCATTCGATGAGGCATCCGTCTAGCCGGAGTCTAGACGGCCGCCTCTTCGCCCCCGACCCGCCGCGCGGCCCACACGAGTCGCTGCACTTGCACAAATCCGCCGATCAATCCGTCTTCTTCATCCGACCTTCCCAGCAATTCAGCCAACTCCGCAGACGCCTCGTCCCCTTGCTTCCGGCCCGCTCTATGAGGAAATTGTCCCTTCAAATCCTTTCCAACCCTCTCGAGTGGTATTTGAATTGATTACCAGTGAGTGCTTTAAATTGCTGGCAAATGATTTTTGGGCAAAAATGATTTTTCATGCATAATTTGATCATCAATTTCGCAAAAGAGCGCAGCATTTAAATTACTCACAATTTTTCACGTTAATCTTCCGCATGACAAAAATTTAGCATGAAAAATTGAGAGGTGGTTTAAGGCGTGACAAATGGGAAGTCTTCTCAAGAAGATTACACATATTAAGAGGTAATTTGTATTCTGTGCATCCCGAAAATTGGAAGGTATTTATTAGCACAAGTGCGTCTTCCGACTATTTTTGACGAGACCGTCCATGGTTATCTGTGAATTTGGCTTCTCTTCGTCTCGCCTTCCTCCTCGTCTCTTCGCCCCGTCGCACCTCGGTCGACCTTTTGACCCGTGGACGGGCCAAACTTTGGGAAACAATCGAGCGCAAGAGTCTGAAATTGCATTGAAATATCCTCTCCTCTGAGTATCCCTCACTTCCATTTACCGTGTGGAATTTATACACAGCCATAAATATTATTTTGTTCCTCTTTTCCCGCCACCACAGAATGCCGTTGCGTTTGAAAGCGAAATTCTAACACTTTGCATACCATCAGGCGAATACCGACCGGCCGAGAAGCCATTCTCGTCACTTTTCCCGGGCAAGAAAGTAAAATTGAAGTACTTTCTCAACGGTAATAAATTGCTGAAATGGCAGAAATGCAAAGATTTGCTGCTATTCAACTCTCTAGAAGCCCGTCACGAGTTTCCAGTGATATTGAATTCCAAATGGGGTCGGCCAGATTGTCGCCCATTTGTCTGGCTCCTCGTCATGACTCCAAGAGTTGGGCACGTGGAAGACGATGAGTGTCGATTGTCATTAGATGTCACAGTAAATCAAATTCACTCCTGTGGGAGGAAACTTTAGACAAGGGGGCCAAAGTGGGAAACCGTCTGTCATTCCTTATTACCCGACCTTATTATGACTTCTGCATTATCACTACTCCAAATCCCAATTGGAGTATTTAGCGAAGTTGTTGTGCAAGAAAAATCCCCAAGTAAATCGCGGACATGAGTCACGGTTGGATTTTTCAGCAGATTTATTCTTGTGAAGAAAATAAAATGTCACGAGTAATTTTATGTATTTATTCTACAGTTACAGTTTTACACTTTTTTTTTACTTCCTTCATACTGTCGATTTAGAGAAAGTTAAGAGATTACAGTGCAATTATAATGAGCTATCAAAAATTACTCATTATTACACTTCTCCTTGGCAATTAGTTATCATTTAAGCCATTCACTCAGATAAAGATTGTGTAGTTTCGTGTTATTTTGAATATCAAATGTGCATAGTCTTCAAAATTTGTACACGGGTTAAAGTGTAGATAATTAACGTATATTTAATTAAACTCAATGAATAAATTTCATTAATTGTTTGAATTTCAGCTTTTACGCGAAATATATATTTTATCAACAATACAAAGATGTTAAATAGTCACTTAAGCCACGTAACCAAATTACCAAAAGTATCCAAATTTATCAAAGAACAATAGGGTATTGTAGTGAACGGGACTTTTGCGGATTTAGCTTTTCAGTTAAATTCCAAGTACTTATATTTGTTCTTGCTAATTAAAAGGGTAATTTTCATAAGGCATGAGCCAAATGAAAAGTTCTGAATTTACTCACAATATCAATGCTGTCTTGTTAAATTTTCCCAATATTCCAAATAAATGGCCAAATAAAGTGTAGACAGGTTAATAACCTATAAATCAAATTCTAAAGTGATTCGTCATTTAATCAGGTTCTCAATGTTTTCACGCTTCTCTTCCTAATGTTCTTAAGCAACCAATTTTTCAAATACAATATATTTGTTCCAGTCACACTTTGAATGGCTTCTGACGTACATTCTAAGTTAAATTTTCACTTTCAGAGCTTGTCTGTAGAAAAAGAATTCAATTAATCCACTTTTGCTGTATAAATCCCATTGAGATGCGCAAATTAACCACTTTAGCGTCTTTTTCTCCAGAACAATGAGCAATTTGGGCAATGTTTTTGACGCATTTTGCAAAGTGTTACAAGACTTCTGCTAGTAGGGAAATGGCCTAGAAGACCCTGAGGCGGGTTTTTCTTAGTTCTGGGGACGCATGAAGAGTTGATCGCTTCACTGGGCAGAGTGTCTTGAGTGTTTTGCTTTGGGAGAATCTACTGGATTTTCCTGTTTTGCCCATGAGTCGACAGGTGATAAATGGTTGCTCGCAAACAGTCACATATCCAATGTAAAGTGCACAAAAATATTGACACAAGCACAGTTTGGGTCTTTAAAGGCTGGCACGATCTCTAATGAGACGCCAGTTGATCCGTGAGCGCAGAAAGGAAAAGTTACAGTGCGAATCTCCAAATTTCATACACACAGCTCAGCCATGAAGATCTTCGCAATGTCAGCACTGTTCGGTGAGTTTGAGTGACACAGAACGGATTAAGAGTGCCGAATCCTCGAGAAAGCCGTGGATTTATTGCTGAATTAACGATGCGCTTCTATTTTTTATTGACTGATCAGACGCAAAAGCCTCATTGTAAATTATGGAAACAATCAGTTTCTTTTTCAACTTGAAAATAAGTCAACGATAATCCCTAGAGATTTTTCTGTCATGGAGTTTAAAAGCAAGTTTGGCGTAATTTCCATATTATCAACAAAATGTTTATTCAAGCAAATGAACCAGAAGTGATATTCAAAATTTGTTTATCACACAAGAATTCTGCCACACACTTGATGAATTATTCATCTTGGCAAAATCGAATTTTCCCAATGGCAAAACTCACTCATTATAGGTGCAATCTAAATTGTCCACAATTTCACACCAGGAATTGACTTTCCAGGCTCGCTCGCTATGTGAGAAGAAAGTTTCAATACCTCCTCACGTGGAGCAAATTGGCAATTGTCGGCCAATTTGCTGGCATTATTTATGGTCGAGGACGCCTCATAAGTGTTGAGCGAGAATTCCGGATGCAGATCGATGGGCAATTAATGTGTAATTTCGGGCCAGTCGCGAGTTATGTAAGAGCAGAGAGATGATTTACGACGAGCAAATGAGACACACTTTTGGTGATCTCTTTCCACTACGTGCTCTATGCATCCGACGGAGTTTCTAATACTGATCTCACTAACTGTTAGAGAGACTGTGATGTGAATTATGGGGACAGAAGTGAAATCAATAACAGTGCTGAGATAATATCTTTCTTTAGTCAAAATAAAGGGATTATTGTGAGTTTTGAGCCTGATTATGTTCAATTAATATGGATATAAATTAATATGGAGATTTATTTATTTATTTTTTCAAACGTTGTTTTTATTCAACCGACCATTAAGAGGAACTGATATTTTATACTTCTCTTAACATGTAGCGCATAAATATACTCCTCTTCAAGCTCTTAATCTATTTGATCTCGTCATAAGAATTGACTTTCCGCAATGCATCTTTAATTAACCTACGGAGATTTAATGACACTGCAATTCTGAATTACCAAGTCCACCTTGAGCGCATCTTAATGCAGAATTTACTCTTTTTTTCTTATTTCTACAGGGCTTGTGTGCCTCGTTAGCGGACGTCCCCAGTACTTCCAGGACTCCGGCGAAGAGGGATGGTCTTGGGGATCTAGCAGCGGAGAGGAGAGCCAGCCGAGTCGAGACCAGCAAATCCGACCAAATCAGCCCAGTTTACCCAGACCAAACCGGCCAAATCCACCCTCAGGAACCGGCAGTATCGTCAGCCCTACGAGGCAGCCCTTAAGCAACGTCCCCGACACCACAGCAATCGTTGGGATCACCACTGAGCCAACCGAGGAGTTCTCCAGGTGCTTCGACGCCTGCCCATCAACCGCTCAATACAACCCTGTGTGCGGTTCAGATATGCAGAGCTACCACAATATGGCCAGGTTCGACTGCGCCGTTTCCTGTGGCGCCAACATTCGAGTGCTGTTCGCCGGAACCTGCGTTCCAGTATCTGGATGAGGATCCAAATATCTTCAGCTGGGGGGGAAAATAAGACTTGGAGAAATTGTCACATGAATTTCTCATCTTTAATTGCCTTAATCGATCAATAAAACACTTCTATATGACAATTTTTCACGCTTGTGCGATCATGCCGACCGTCATTCTATGCGGGAGAGACTTTCGCTGAATTTTGGCGCACTTTTTTGGACGCCCCGGAGAAATGCTCGCGAAAGCCGCGATGGAGTGGCGGAAGCTTTAATAGGTGCCATTCTTCACCTGAGCCATCAGTAGAGCTTGAAGATTGAGTCTCACAACACCTCGCGACCGTACAGTGTGATCAGTGATCATCTGTGGGATTATCATTACCAGTGACCTTGTGTGAATATTTAGCAAAGTGATTTATATACTGGATTACAAACACAATTGGGATGTGGATTACCAAACTTTTGATCTTGATCGCAGGTCAGAAATTCAATTTCTCTCGGGCTCATTTACGATGCAGCTGGCGAGATAGTTAATCTATTGAGTGAAAAGCCGTTTGGCGGAAATCTTCCGCAACTTAACCCGGATTCTCTTGCAGTCTCTGTCGCTGTGGCCACTGATGGACAAGACGAAGAGACCGCCGAGAGTCAACGCGAGTCGAGATATGTCAAGAATGAGAGGCCTCTGTATGTAATCAGACCCATTAGACCTACACGAAAGTCTCACTCCTCGTCAGGATCCTCTCTAAGTTCCACCCTGAGTTCATCCTTGAAGAGTTTATTGCCCAACTTCAGCTTCGATGGCTTTGATTGGGGTTTCTTGGGAGGAAGTAAGAGTCCTCCAAAAGTCACTTACAAGATCGTGAAATTCAAGAAAGAACCACCGATCTCGTCACCAATCATCAAAGCTGCTCCTTTGTCATCTCTTCACACGACTTTTAATGCGGATTTCGATGCCATGTCACAGAAAAAGAAGTATCCAGCCTACAATCCCAAGCCTCTGATCCTAGAGCCTGCATTCTTCCCAATTCAGATGAAATCGGAACCCGAACCTGTGATTCTCTCTCCGAAAGCCCCAATTCAAGAACCACCCGTTCAACTTTCCCAAGTGATTGTTGGCAAACCTTCGTCTTCCGGGGTCAACATTCCTCCACACATCGAAGCCTCTCTCATTGAGAACGATCAAGGTGTTTATCATGACCTCACAGGAGAAATAAGTCCATCTTCAGAACCCTACAAGTTCGATTTTGGTGGCCAAGAACTCCTTGTGGAGTCCAAACCCATTAGCCTTGGCCCAGAGTTGCTGCCCAGAGAGCACTTCAAGTTCAACAGAGATCAACCTGATATGGACTTTACTTATGCCTCTGACGATGTCATCAATATTGTAAATCCGCCGAGGCACAGCAATGTCGAGCAAAAGAGCAATAATCAAGTGAGTTTTGCTCCTGCGGATGCAATCAACGTTGTCAAGGCTCCTTCTGAGTATCTTCCCAAGCAGAGAGGTCATCAGGAGAGGAATAAATTCATTTCTCCAACTCAGGCAACGCCAGGTGAATAGTCAAACTCACACTTTCAAGCAAGAAGAGAGCAAGACGCTATTGTAATTGTTTAATATGATTTTACTTCAGAATTTCATCAGAAGAAACCATCATCATCTTTTGAAAATCGTTTAAAGACATCCCCGCAAACTTTCAACAACCAAGATTCCACTTATGAAGTGATTGAGGATGTTCCTGAAGATCGCAGGTATCCTTATCTGCCTCTGGGAGGGGATAAGAAAGAAGTTCCTCACATTGGCATCGGAAAGTACATGGAAGACGCCAGGAAAATGTATTTAGAAGCCACAAGGAAAGCTAAAGAAGCTTTAAGATACACTATTGCATCATTCCCATCAACAAAGAGTCCTTCGGAGAAAGTGGAAATAATCACAGAGGGATACAAGAACTTCGAATCATCCCGAAGGAATCACCACAGATCAGTGAAGAAGGGGAAGGTTTTTCAGGATCGAGAGGAGAGATATTTCAATGAAAACAGAAAGAAATTCGACGAAGATGTAGACATAGATGAGTATTTTTTGCCTAAGAGAGAACCTCTCTACAATCAGTACCTTTTATCCACGTCAGAACCTACAAGCTCCACCTTCAATTTCCGTCCATCAGCGAGTATCAGCTTTGAAGAGAACGAAGCTAAACCCGGTCCTGATCAGGAAATTGATCTCAAAGACGACACGCCACTTTGGCCAGAGACACTCTTCAAGGAGGAAGCAATACCTTCATTGAATGAGATTCCTGAATTTGTTAATATCTCATTGACAGCTCTGAACTCAACAACACCGACTCCACAAGTTGATCCTCATGCCAATTTCAACGGTTTCTACATCCCGCCAATGCAGAACTTTGCTGAGAAGATTTCAGACTTTCTGAAGTTTCCAGATGAAGAAACAACGGAAAAATATTCTAATTTCCCTACAACAACGGCTAAAGTGACAACGACACCATTGGATCTGAAAGATAACTTGAAGAATTACACTCCCAGACCCACGTTCTTCGTGAAGATCACCACAACGCCACCACCTGTGCTCAGGAGAGCTAGTCCTACGAGTATTTCCTGCGAGAGGAGATGCATTCAGACTACAGTGACACAGGAATATCTGCCAGTGTGCGGAAGTGACGGAAAAAGCTACTCAAATCGAGGGAAGCTTGCCTGTGCCAACAATTGTGGCATGGAGGGTGAGCAGATTTATTTTAATAGTAGACATTATTCACGAGTTAACAATGAATATCAAAGCGAGCATATAGCCGAGGCTATTTCCTTTGTAACTGGGTTTCTTTTTCTTCCATCCAGAAATCTACGTGAAACACATCGGAAGCTGCACACCAACCAAATAATTCAACGCCATCCCGTAGAACAGTCTCCATCTCATCCCCTCAGTGCACTTTTCTAGTATTTATTGGTATTTATTGTGGGAAAATCTCTGAAAAATTGAGAGCTCAATAAAGGCGCCAACGAGGCTCTAGTCCACTTTATTTTTCCGCTACGCGGCGCTGCAAGCAATTTGTGTGCCATAACAATTGACATCGCGAATGTCAGCTTGCAAAAAAACGTAGAGGAAAAACCACACGAAAATTGTTTTTTCCTCCTACGTGTAGTCTTTTGAAAATATTAGACTTTTTCTTAGGTCTCCTCTATGTTTAGTGAGTGTAGCAGTAGATAAACCATGTCTGTGTTAAGTGAACAGGTGAGAAGGGGTGGGATTCGAGTGGGTGGAAGGCTTCCTGGCGGGACAGGAAATGGTGGGCTTCCCTATCAGCGGTCGGGCGTCTGATAAGACGACTCAGTCTCTCGTCGGCGGCCTCAGTGGATTGTCGCTCGTTTCAGAACTGTGATGTTCATCTGCACGCGGAGATCGAGGTGCTGAAGCAGGCGCTGGCCGATAAGCAGACGCAGCTGGTGGCGATGGAGACTGCGTGCCTCCGGGAGAGCGACAGGCAAGTTGAGCTGGAGGACAGTATCATCGCGTGGCAGGACAAGTACGACCGCCTCTATGAGTCCCACAAGCGAGTGCAGAAGGTCAACCAGAACCTGGAGGACAAGCTCCTGAAGCTGGTTGACAGGAATTCCGGGGAACGGGCGCAGCTCACGAGCGACGTGGCCACGCTGAGCGTCCGCCTGGCCCAGGCGAACTACAACATAGCTAATCTGCAGAGGGAAATCGTGAGTAGACATTCCTTGAGTTCTGGATTACCAGATAAGCACTTATCGAGACTTATAAACTGGTTTTTTGGCGTAATTGATGACTTCTGCCTAATCTTCCTTATCTCCCAAGTCGATTATATGGTAATTAAGCCATTCTACAAGTGCTAACAAGCCTAAATTCATTGATTGTTGGCGTCTAGAGGGAAAACATCATAAAATTGAGCATTTACTCGCCTCTTGTTCTCATTCTTGGTCTTTGATTGAGGCGCAAGAAGCAACCATGACATTCTTTTAATTGAATTTCCGGTGAGAATTCTAGAGTGCAGGCGTTTTTCGGGGTGGACAAAGTGAACTTCGTGGTGAGGAAATGGGTTAGCCAGTGATAAACTGGCAATAGTTCTTATCATGGGCCAGAGTTCGGGTCAATAAATCACTGGGAGGATCATCCGAATGAATTCTCCTCGCTCAGAGATGGAGAAATATTGTTTGCAATTGAGTTAGACAATTACACTTGGTGATCTCGTCTCTCTTTCTTCACCACTGCTTATCAGAGTGGCAATTTATTTGTGATGTGATAATACGAGACGCTGTTTGTGACAACAAATAGCGATAAATTCAACTGGCAATTGTTTGCTGATGGTCCCCTTTTCTCGCTTCAGGAGCGCTACAAAATGGATATGAGCTTAGCAATTCAGTTGCTGCAGTGCAAGCCAGATAGCTTCGTATCGCAGAAGATATCATCGGTGAGTCCAATGAAACGCCCTCAAATTGTCCCCACACAAAATGATTGGGAAAGCGCGCGAGCAAATGTGCTGAGCCAGTTGAAAAAGAGTTGTGGAAAACTTTTTTAATTGTGTCAAATGGAAGTGACGCAGCTTTGAGGAAACTTTTTGGGAAAGAAGGAAACATCGTGAGCCAAATTTGTGTCTCTGGGTATTGTTTCTTTGTCTTTTTTTTCTTTGTGCCTTAAATAAGCACAATTTTGAAGGGGATTCTTCCCGAACTTCCTTTCGGGATTCAGTGCAAAAAATGTTGTGAATCACAGCTCGATTGCTGTGCCATCATTAATCAGTTTGCAACTGCAATATTGCCAAATTAAGGTGGAAAGTCCAGTGAATGACACTTTATTTTAAAAATTTTGCCATCCAATTTTATATCAATACTTTCTGACCTATTCTGGATTGTCATATAATATTTTACAAGTGCCAAATACTTGAAATTTGTGTTTTTCTCAAGAGAAACTGAGTCTGCCATAGTCCGTGGCAGTGTAGAAATTTCATGAGTTTTACTTCAATATAACAATACAGTTTTCCTTTCTTCACTTCGCCATCATTGCAAATTAAATTAATTGATAGTGAGGTGGTTAATGGTAAAGTTGATCGGTTCCGCCACTGAAGCTGGATGGTTTATGGCTAAAAATACAACTTCAAGAGTTTTAATTGATTTTTCCACCTTATTTAATAACTCTCCTTCTCATTCCACTTTCCGTTGAGGCTGCGTTGAAATTGAATTGTGACAGATGAATTTATTGTCAATGTTTTTAAATGAAATTCCTGCTATTGCGCCCAGCTTCCGGCGGAGATTCAGTCGAAGGTGGCGTCGTACATGCGACTGGACACGAATTCTCACTCAGACTCGGAGGGAAGCACCAGCGGCACGGCGGACGCCACGAGGTCCTATCGTGTCCTCCCGGCCACGGACAGCCCGCCACCCCTCTGCCCATTCCCACCCACGGCCATGGTGTACTCAATGCGAGGACTCGGTAAGTGTTAGTAGCTTTGGTGTTGTTTATTTCTCTAACCACCCTTCATTTGGCAGCTTCAGAGTGCACAGAAAGTCACAAGAGCGCTTTTTATTACCTTAGATTTTGCGCACTATTTGCAAAAGATAGTAGAAAAAGAGAAAAAAAGACCTGAAAGACGGACACACTGTCTTTGCTTTTACTTCCTCTTGAATTATTGTGTATATAATTTGCTGCAAAACACCTTTTTATTTTGTAAAATAACATTTTGAGTAGATAAAAATGGTGAGGATTTTTGCATGTGAGTTCAACAGGTGAGCTGTAAGATTTTTTCTTTCTCTTATCTATCCACACACTTTTGGTGAGGTGAAGGGGGTTGGAAATTGAGTTTTGACGCAATTTTCACATTTCTGACTAATTTTTGGCTAATGAAACAGCATAAAAAGCGTCAAAATTCAATTTTTAACCCTCGTGCAATCTTCACAAGCTTTCACTTAGCATGACCACTTCTTTTACTGTAACTGTTGGTGACTTTTCCCTTTGGATTGGGTGATTTCCCACCCATTTTGCGGCTGACATCTAACTTTTCTCTCTTCTTTCGGTGACCAGATGCCGCCCAAGGGCAGGATGCACGAGATCAAGTGATCACGCCGTCGATGATGTCGAAATTTCTCGAGGATGAGCTAAAGTCTAGCGAATTGAAGCACTGCGAGAGTTGTCAGTGCACCACGAAGGATCTCACAGTGCTGCCGGACACGCAAAAGACCTACAGCGTGGGCACTCAAACCCTCCTTCACGGGGAGGCCAATAATGCGCTCTGCTTGCGCTGCAATAGCAATCTGAATTCCCCATCGCGCACCAACAGTCCGTATATCATGAAGCTGGTAAAGTCTAGCGACAGTGTGATTAGCGAAACGAAGAGCAGCGTGTCGAATTCCACGCAGAACGAGAAGCTCTTCACGCCAGCGAAGAAGGACGAATTGATGGTGAATCCGATTCTGGGGCATCATCGCATCTGCGATCGCACGAGTCTCAAGAGTCCACTGGAGCCGCTCACGGATCCCAGCGACGTGGCGGAGGACAAGCAAGCGGCCTTGCCGACGCCGGACAAGACGCCCAAGTCCATCAGCAGTCCAGACAAAGGACCTGCCACGATGGGGAGCACCAACAGCTTGTGGAGCAAGACGAGCAGCTCCGAGGGACACAAGATGTTCGAGACATTTAACAAGAATCTTATTAAAACCATTAAGGTAGGTGATTTCTGAATTTACTCGATTATCAGTTTGAAACATAAAATTTCGTTTTTCGTTACAAAAGTTATACTTTGCAATAGCAAGCGTAAAAGACTGGTATTTGTGACACACTAAATTTTATTCAGATAAAACAATGCTGCAATAGCGTTGTGTCTTCAAGCTACACACGTCTTATCTGCTGCTATCTGAAATGTTTTTTAGGCAAGAAAGGAAGCATTAATTTACATATATCGCTTTGTATAGAAAAAAAACTGAAATAGAAAGCGATATAAAATACAAAGCATTGGTAGTCAGTCAGATAAGAATGAGGTATTTTCAAAGAGAATTGCTACTTAAACGTAACAAATGTAGTAAACTTTATGAGTTTGCAATAATATTTAATTGAAATCTGATTTATGCGCCAATTACTTCAGTTTGCTAAAGTTTTTGAAACAAGAGATAATGCCATGACTTTGGCTTATGTTCGAAATTTCGACTCTTTGGAAAACCCTTGCAAAATTCAAATTGAACTTTATCAAATCACTTCTATAGAGCCACAATTGAATTCTGATATTCTAATAAATTTCTCTAATTTATTTCTCCATTAATCGAGCAGCGCAAATGCTTATCAATTGTTCTTGATTGTCTGTTTGCAGTCTGAAAATCCAAAGATAAACGGGCCACGTCTGTGTTCGGTGCGCATCCAGAATGGCTCGACAAACATTCTGCTGGACGGCGCCGAGGCCAGTCCCACGCCTGTGGTTTACACGCGTCGCCAGCGCTTCCTGGACGAGGAGCTGGACGACGCCAAGGATGTGATCACGACGGGTGAGGCGAAGATTTCAATGGTGATGGCGAATGGGAACAAGACAGACTCGGAAAAGTGCTTGGAGGCGGCGAGCGAGATGGACAAGGAGGCGAAGAAGGTGAAGTCCACGGGCACACAGTCCAGCTCGGTGTCCAGTGACACGGAACTGCAGGAGACGGTGATGCTGCGGCGGCAGCAACTCACGCGCGTGGCTGAATGGGTGCAGACGACGCAGCTGGACATACGAACACCGCCGGACGCTTCGCCCAGCGTCAATAACAACATGGAGCGGCAGCCGGAGGTGAACTGTGATGCCCCGAATGGGAACAAGGAGACGCCCGTGGATTTGGCGCAGATGGAGTACAATGTGAAGCAATTCCTGCTGAAGCAGAACGAGTGGTCAATTCACAACAGGAGCGCGCAGCCGGTCGGCAAACCGCACCGGACGGAAACGAACCTGTAGGAAGGCTTCGGGCAGTGATTCTCAAGTATCGTGATGTGAATTTATTTGTATATATTTTTTTGTTATTTAGTGGTTAATTTATAGACATTTTTTTCAATTGATTTAAAAACTTTTCTTATGGTTTTGAATGGGTTTTCTTTTTGTAGTGAAACCAGATTTTAAAATCCTTAAAAGCTAGTCAATTTGCTTTGCCATAATAGCAATTATTTGCGTGAAAACATAAGATTTTGAGAATCACTGAACAATTCATAAGATTTAAAGAGCGAATAAGAAAGAAACCACCATCAAAGGTATCGCTGATTGTATATTCTTAAAAAGTATGGCAAACCTATTTTAATTTGTGAGCTTCCAGACATTTTTTGGACTTTGCGAGAAAAAAGATACGAAAAGACAGATTTTGCCAAAGAGATATTAAATTTTCTGCCTCTGTCTTCCTCACAAAAGACACTGTTTTCCTTGGTTCGAGAGCAAGAAGGGAAGTCTTTAATAAGAGCAAAAAAAATATATCGCAAGAATATCATATTTGGGCTTCTAAATCGCTTTATATCGTCCCAAGAAAAAGGTTTATGAATAAGATGATATATCACATCTGAAGATTTCAAAGACGCTCTGAAAACATACTCAAAAGCGACGTTTTACTGATTATAAATACGGAATAGAAGCTGTATAGCCGATAATGAGAGTGAGATAAAGAATATCTTATGTACCACATACATATATTTTAATATTTAAACAAGAAATTAATTGATAAGTGAAGTGAGGATGCAAGCAACAAATTTTGACATAGAGAAGCAGACAATTCTCAAGATAATCTCCTTTCTATAAATGCTTAGTATCGAAGGACACGATTAAAAGAGGCGCATTTTATTGTAAAACCCTAAATAAAAACATTTACAGAAAAGTCTGCATTCCATTTGTTACCTCTTAAGCCTCTTAAGATAAAACATCATGCTATTTAGTGCACAACATGAGCTTCTATCCTTCTTTTCTGTGACACAAAACTGTAATAAGAAACTATCTTTGTGTTGTGTTTGAGTGCAAATTTTCATTGTTAAGTTTTCTAGGATATAAAACTATCGATATTTTCCGATACAAAAAAAGAAAAAAAGAGAAAAAAAAGCCGGTGAGCTTTTAAGCTGATTTGCTCAAGTTCGAATTTGCGCTTACTTTTCAAAGCACACATTTTTCTAGTCTCTCTTAAGGGAAAACCAAGCACAAAGAGAAGAGCATTTTATTTGTGACTCTGTCTTAAGCCATCACATTCCAAACCATGTCTTTGTGGGTGAATTAAGCATGCAAAGACATGAAAACTGATGTTTTGTTCATTTTGATGTTTAACCTGATAAGGCATTAAATAAAAGTGAGAAACACGACAGAAAACATGCATTTTTGATTTGCTGAAGGGCGTGCGTTGTTATTCTCTTCACTCTTATAAAAATAAAAGCCAAGGGATTTCCGGAGAAGCAAACTATAGAGGTTGATGGATTAAATTAGATATTTTATGTTAAATCTCACTGATTTAACACTTCAAATGTATCTGAAGAATTTGCTTCCAAGGGGAAATTATGAAAACAAAACACTTAATTTGGTCTGAACTTTATTTTAATGAAATTCCAAACAAATTCGGAGTCAAAGTCTCATAAAAAAGTGAGAAAATTCGTCAATAACAACAAAGCATTCAAAATATTTTACCAAGAAATTTTCTCCTTGAATAAAACACTTGGAAAAGCGATTTCATTTTGACTTAGCTCTATATTTAGAGCCAAATTTCGCGATTAACTGCCTTCTTAGGTCTTCGCCCTGATGTTAATCGTGGCAAACAGAGTTTGCTGTTACTCTGCGACTTTGACTTAATTGTTCTTAAATCCCATGAAGCATTAACGACTTCTTCCTGACCTCATGACAGCCGAATTATCGCCAGGAATGTGCAGAGGTGCTGTTTCACGGTTGTTTACCAACAATTACAAGATAAGAGGAGCACTGAGCGTGAAAAGAGGGCGCCGAATGAAAGACTTCGGTCAATTCTCAAGTTTTTTTCTTTATTTTGATCAAGAATGAATCTCGCGAATACTTCCGAAACCCCACTTGGAGGGTCTCGAAATCACACAAATAATAAATTATAAATATTGGGATTTCGTCGACCTCCGCTTTTACCGGGAGGTCCTCAATAAATAAAGGCACGCAATCTCTCTCGTCTGCTAATGGCAATTCTTACTTTAGGAGCTGCCTTAGAACTCATCTGAGAGCCTAACTAGCTAAGTGGAAGTCTATCGTCTAGGGGTGGCTTAAGATAGGGGCTTAGGGCTCCGCCTGGGCCTCTGCCGCGGGCGGTTGTGTGAGATCTTCGGCGGGTTGGGCCTCCTGAGGCGCCTCTGGCTGTTGCTCCTCCGGTTGGGCTTCCGGCTGCTGCTCTGGCTGCTTCTCCGGCGCCTCTTCATCAGTCAGAGCCTTCTCGGGCGCCTGCTGCTGGCTGCCGCCGGTGAAGAAGTTCTGAATGGGTTTCTGCACGTTGTTCTGGAAGCCCTGCACGACGTTCTGGAACGCCTGGCCGATGGGATTCTGATTTGCCTGCTGCTGCGGGGCGTCATCGCTCTGGGGATTCGTCTGGGGCCTGTTGGGATTGATGAAGTTCTGGAACTGCTGGATCAGATTGGGTCTCTCAGTCGCTGGAGCGTCATCTTGGGGCTTCTGCGCCTGATTTCCGGGGCCACGAATGGCATTAGTGATGGGGTTGTTGTTCAGGAGATTCTGGAAGGAATTCTGGAACGATTGTATGATGCTGGGACGCTGAGTAGCAGGTTTCTCACCATCGGCGGGGATTTCGTTCTGTCTGGGCGACTCCTCTGGCTCCTGAGGACTGGCTGGGGCTTCTGGCTGGGCCTCCTCAGGCTGCTGCTCCTGTGGCTTCTCCTCAGGCTGTTGCTGGGGCTCCTGAGGTTCTTGGGGCTTCTCCTCGGGCTGTTGCTGGGGCTCTTGGGGCTCTTGTGGCTTCTCTTCGGGCTGCTGCTCAGGTTCCTGTGGCCTCTCTGCTTCAGCTTCCTGTGATCCACTACGAGGCTGCTCTGCTGGGAGATCTTGAGGCTGTTCCTGTGGCTTTTCCGGTTGCTCCTGCGGCTGCTCTTGGGGTTTCTCTTGCGGCTGCTCCTGGGGCCTCTCTGGCTCCTCTTGCGGCTGCTCTTGAGGCTTCTCTTCAGGCATCTCCTCCTTGATAGGCTCATCACGTCCCATTTCTTTAGGCTCCTCCTGAGGCTGCTCCTGTGGCTGCTCTTGTGGCTGCTCCTGAGGTGGTTCTGGCCTCTCTTCTGGCAATTCTTGTGGTTTCTCCTCAGGCTTCGGCTCCTCCAAAGGCATTTCTTGGGGCTTCTCGTCAATGATCTCTTCCCTAATGGGCTCATCTCGTCCCATCTCTTGAGGCTCCTCTTTGGGAATCTCCTGGGGCATTTCTTCCTTTTGCTCGGGGATTTCCTCAGGCTTCGGCTCTTCCAGAGGCATTTCTTGGGGCTTCTCCTCGATCATCTCAGGCTCTTTCAGTTCATTCTCCTCAGCAATGGGCTCTTCTCTCAGCATCTCCTTGGGTTCTTCCTCCAGAGGCATTTCTTGAGGCATTTCCAAGGGCATTTCCTGAGGCATTAGTGGCTCCTCAGGCTTCACTGAATTCACGACCTCTTCAACTTCCACTGCGGGCTCCCTGATAATTTCCGCCACAATCGCGGGCACCACTTCGGTTTTCACAAGAAGCTCTCCGTTGGGGAGGATTTCCTCCATCACCATCTCCTTGGGGCTGTCCTCGAGCACCACTGGAATCTCATTTCGCGGCGCCTCAGGTTCTGCGGGGGCCTCACTGATGATAGGCGACTCCTTGATCTCCTCCGGCGCCTCTGGGATCACTTTCTCCACTTCCGGGAGCGTCTCCCTCGCGCTCCGCCAAATGGTGCCTCCCTGGGCGACGCCCGAGAGCGCAAGGAGGGCCAGCACACCGAAAACTCTCATCATCCAAGAAAGAACTTACAAAACCGTGAAAGGCAAAACTCGAGAGACGCGATCGCGGCAACTTGTGGACTCAGACTAAATTACCCAAAAGGCACCCAAGGCATTTTATACGATCGCCAGCCATTGACCCGTTACTTCTTTTATTGCCCACTGGCCAGCGAGGCGCGCCAAGAGGTTGATGGCGCTCGCGAGGATCGCGAAAAGATCCACACTCTCTATGGCGACCCAGAGAGATGGAAAACTACCGGCCAAATGCAGCCCTTCTGCCAGCCCAAAAAATTGAGTCAAGGTTGCCACCGAAATACCGCAATCGTGATCATGGATGATCAGTAAATTGATGCCCAAGACTTCACATGATAATTGAGTGGGATTTGCACTGCAAATTTTCACATCAGCAGCAACACACCAGCTTCTTATGCTAATCACCGAGTTTCAGCGGTGATCTTTCGGGACGATCGAGATGAATGACCTCTGGATGCGAGCCGTGAAGATTCCACAAATTGAGGGTATCAAGATCGGTGCATTTTGGGAAATACCATCGATTTCCGATCCAGCACAAAAGCAAGCATAAAAGTGTGCATGCTTCGGTGGCATAAAAATCTCCGCATGAATTGCGTACAGAAGCAGCCGATTGAGGTGCGATGAGGAGTCTCTCCTGTGCTCGAAGAGCAGAGATTCGAGATCCGCCCACCTCTTGGCCCCGCCCACACAGCATCTAAACGTGCGCCACGATATTGAGATCCGTTCAACTCAATTGGGTCACCTTCTGCTCGTCATTTTACAATAATCTTCAAACTCTCATTTTCAAATGGTCATCATTTCCACGCTTTTCCCTCTGCCCTCCTGATGGGCCTTCAGTGAGTGATGCCAGAAGAATTCTCCCCGACTGATACCCGCGTCTGGTGGCCGTAATAATAGCGGTCAATGGACCTGCCAATGCGGATAAGATACGGGGACAGAAATGCCTCAATTTGTGTGAAAAGATGGTGAGGAATTTTGAAATGCGCAATAAATTACCGTGGGTTATTTTTAGAGTCCACCTTTGTCCGAAAAATCTAATGCAACTTCCATATCGTGTGTCGTCCAATTTATTCCGCATCGCATCCGCACTGAAGAGGAGAATGCTCTTCGGTCGAGAGATGGCAAAAATGATCCACCTTTTTATTTGCATAATCACATCGCCAAGAGAGTTCAAAATTCAAATCATGTGATAGATTTTCCTATTCCGCAGTGCAAAATCGCAAAATACACCACTAAAGAAGTCAGGTGAAAAAAAACTACGAGATTAATCTTGCATGTTTTGTGCCAATATAAAAATTCTCTCTGTCGAAAATATGCTAATTGACAGTTGAGTATTAAAATTTAAATGATACCGCCAGAATTGCAAGAGTCACTCTTTCTCTTCAGGCCTCCTAACGGTCTCTTGGACAGTCTCGTGGAGCCACAAAAACATGTCCAAAAGAGAGACCCAAAATATCCCGTGGAGCTCACAAAGAATCTCACATTGATTTGTTTATATATCGTGAACTTTTTGCCACCTCGCTTCCTCATTCTAACGCTTCTTCGACGCCTCACCATCAATCTTCTGTCCAGTAATTGGGCCATGCTGACGCTCCTCTTGAGGCGCAAATCTTCGGTACCTATTGAGAAGATTCTGCAAGACGCCCGAGAATTCTCCTTTCACTCCAATCAATTGGGCTGTTCTTGTGCGCAAGAAGAGCTCCAGCGATGCCTAGTGGCCTCAATTGCCGAATTTCATGAAGAAAGACCTTTGGAGTATAGTGAGAGTGAGAATAAAACTCAAACATCTAAACGTGAACTGATCGCCAGAAGAAAAGCTAAGAAAATCAGTATTATCTTTCTCATGAAAGCAAAGTATAAGGAATCGAGAACAATGATTGTTAAGCAAATTGAAAAAGTATTCTTCGTCTCTTGTAATTTATATGTAACAAAATACTAAAAGAAGAACATGAAGCTTTCACCGAAGTTCAATTGTTGTACATTGCGAGAACGATTAATTTTAAAAATGATTAAAGATCAATTAACTTAACTTTGAAAATTGCTTCATTCGATTTCGATGATCTTGAGCTCATTGAAAAGCTCTTGCAAATGCTGCAACTCTTCTGAACAACCATCTCACGTTTTGCCAGCTCTCTAGAATCGACGTCGCCCATTTGGCCAGCGAATAAACAATTTTGTTACAACAATTTATTCTGACAGTTGAATAGAGATAAAATAGAGTCATTACTTTGCGATCGAAGCAGCACAATTTGACTTTGACTTCAAATCGAGTGTGTAATGTTCTGAATTTGGCCGCAAGAACTGCCCTAAGTCATTCTTATTTGTACATTGAATCGCAACAGAGCATTTCCGCTGGAGATCAGATAAATCCATGGAAGTTTGGGAGGTGTGTTGAGCTCGGCTGCATTTCCCACGTTGGACGCAGTGCAGGAGAGGCGCAAGAATGAAGAATGGCAGGTTCTAAAGTTGGCTGGCGGGCTCCCGAGGCGAAACCAGAAAGTCTATTTATAGATAGACGAGGGCGCCGTCCATCTAGAGAGAGTCTAGAGCATCCCGGCCGGATGGAATTTCGCTGGGCAAAAGGTTGCTGCATCAGAGTCATTGGCCACGCAACTCGTTTGAAGAATAAGAACTGCAACCGGTTCTCGTCAGCATCTTCAAGTGAAAATGTAAGTTGCGCCTCTGCGGCCAATGCCCATATTTGAGAACACAGACGCTCTTCGCCATCCGCGAGCCCTTTTTGCCACACAAGACCGGCTCTTCTCCTCTGCTAAATTGCAGGGCAATTTCAGCGACTTGCAAGCTCAAATTAATTCCAATTGTATGCGCGTGAAGAGCAGCGATAAAAGTGGTTCAAGTTCGCATTCGATCGCTCAGCCATTAAATAACTTCTTTTGGACGCGATTGCATGAAAAATGAGCGGTCATAGAGAAAGACCAGAAATTTGCAGTTCGCTCGCGCAGCTTTGAGGTCAGTGTCAAGAGGATGGCCTGTCCATCGCTCTTCCGGCAATTTCGTTGGCGCCATTAAGTTTTCTATGCGTCGCTCCACAAATCTTTCACCCAAAATGAATTATCTCTCTTTGCATGTCGCCCAAAAGTGGCTCCGTGACCAACTTCGAGGGCAAGGCGCAATTTCACCTCAAGACGTCACCAATTTTTCTGTTTTGCCACAGAAGGAATTTAAATGGTTTTGAAGAGCGGAATTATCGTTGATTGACTTCGATAGAGTGCAAAATTTGCGCAATATGCCTTTGGGAAAGTGGATTTTTCCATTTTAATTTTCTGCTGCCACTTTGGGAAAACACTCACCGTACGCCAGGTCCAGAGAGAGCCCAACACTGGGTCCGACAGCACTCAGGAAGGCCACAATCCTGTTCCCAGTCACGCTTTCGAGGATCTCAGCAGTGCGACAGGGATGAAGTGTCCAAATTGGCCGAAAGAGCGCTGGATGATCCATTTGAGTGAGCACAGAGAAGAAATCTTTCGGCTTCTCCTCAATCTTCAGCAACTTCCACACGTCCTCGTGCCTCACTGAAGATCCATCACTGGCAAAGGCTTCGAATCCCAGTACAGGAACTTGATAGCTCACATGATAAGTGACATGAAATTCAATGCTGAAGATTTTCTCTGCAGAAGACACTTTCGTTCCACGTTTCAAGAGGAAGGGAACTTCCTCTTCTAGTCTATTCTTGACGCTTTTCAACTCCCAAGCGTCGCCAAGGCGATCAGATATATCCAGGAAGTCACCAGCGTCTCTTCGGAACTCTTCAGGAGTCATGCTGAAAAAAACACCAGGCAAAACATCATGATAAATCTCAATTGCAAGTCATTCATATCGCAATTCAACACAATTGGTCGGCTTTTGTTGTTCGATTTAGAGAGTGCGACTTTAAGAATGTATAAAGAAACTTTATTTACACGTCTGTACAGAGGTTTGTATATAATTTTCACTTTTTGTACAATTCTTGCGAAGACTTACAAATATAATTGTGGAATTGTGCATTATGTAACGCGAGTACATGAAGAACTCTCTCACATTCAAGCTTAAAGCTGACGAGGAACTTGTTATTGGTTACATGACAGATTTGATGATCTCAAATGTGGAAAAAATATTGATAAGAGAAAAATTTCCGACGCTGCGAAGAAGATTAGAGATTCACAAAGCAAAGGGGCTGATGACTGCAGATATTGGTTCACATGTATTGCCTGAGGATGTCACAGACGTAGTCCAGGCACTTTTCCGGCGGCAGAACGCCGTTCAAGAGGCGAATGTCCGTCCGATCCTTGATCTCCTGGAAGTGCTTCTCGTACATCGGCCACACACACGTCTCGAAGTATCCCGAATAGTCAGGGGGCGAGTAAGTCCTCGTCCGTCGTCTGGCATACGCCACCTCATAGGGCACGTGCAGATGGAACTTGGGACTGCAAACCTCCACCAGCAGCGGATGATTGAACACCAAAAATCCCTCAATTATCAACACATTTGTCGACGCTGTCGCCTGACTCAGCACAGCCTCCACGTCTCTAATCATCCTGTCCATGTCCAGAGCCGTGAGGATGTCCCAGTTCACGTGGCCCAGTTGATCAATGTGCTGATGCTGCGGGTGATCCTCGGGTAGGAAGTAGTTGTCCTGATTGATCACCTGCACGCTGCCCACTTCCGCAGTCAAGCGATCGCGGAGCAGCGTCGCCAGGGTCGTCTTTCCGCTGTTCGTGGTGCCGGAAATGCCCACGACGAGCCAATCCGGGCGCATCCTGCAAAGGACGAGTGTCACGATATGGCGAAAGGTCACGAGATCTGGGCTTGACCTCTAGCGAGAGACAGTGACGCACGCGGAGCTCGCAAAACTGACTAAAGGGGTCGATCTGCGAGCTTGGAGCATCAGCTCATCTCGCACTCTTAACCCTGCCCTGAGTGTGAGTTTTGGAGTTGCGAAAATTTTGATTGATGAGCATTTTGGGCCAACGAATCCATGAGTTTTCACTCTACCACCAAATCGGTACAGCTAATAATTTTCAAATGTGCCTTGCATTATCATGAAAAATTATAATAATACAAACAAATGACAAATCCGTAATTATGATATGAATTAGAAATCTGAACTGAACAAATAAGAACGAGAAATTTAAAATGTTCTGAATTATTCAGATAAAGATTCACCAATATTTAAATATCAAAGTTCAAAATTGAAATCAATCTGAATAAGATGATTATTAAGACTGAACCTCGCACAAAGGATAAACGTGTGAAGACTGTAGAACTTATCACCTAAGCTAAATCGGAATCTCTTTCAGTACTTTAAAGCAGTTTCAAATTCAGAGGGATTTCAATAGTTCAGTGTAAACTAGCAATATTTCAAAATATCATTTTTTGAACCCAATTTCGATCATGATTTTAGAATTAAGCTCAGTGTCACGGTATTTTCAGAAGAATAACTTGAGAATAACTCAATTGAGACGTAGATTATTATGCAATTAGCATATTAAAGAAGAATGTTTTGAGCAAATATTTATGTGAATTTCTGGGAAATGACTGCATTCTGTTCCTCCCGATTTGTTTTTCCTTCAACTGACCTTTCGATTTGTGATTGTCCTCTTGTGGAAAGAGCCTCAGAAGATCCTCACGTGCTCCTGGACGCGATACAGCGTGAAAAGTGCCAATGCTCCCAAAAAGCAGATCCCAAAGATTGCCGGAAACATGAAGGCGAACTCCACGGGAAGGAAGAGCGACTGGATCCAGTCTCCTGTAAAATCAGAGATAAGACATTAGCCAGGAATGCAAGAAAATGCACGAAAACTCACCTTCAACTTGGATGAATGGCAAAACGAGCCACGAGACGTAGTAAATGAAGGCGAGAAGAGTCAGCGTTAAGACGATTTTCCCGATGATTGAGTCTCTCATCGTCAATGACAATCTCTGTGTATTTGCACAATCACACTCCTCGTCACGTGTCCAATGAGCATCGAGCGTCTCAAGGCGAAAAAACCCACGAAATATCCATCCAAAAGTGTGTTTTGCAGAGCACCACAAAAAAGGTAAACAATGCAAAGTGTCATGGAATTCTAATAATTGTCGCGTGAGGTCAGCGCGATCGATTTCCCCTCCAAAAGATGCCATAATTCATCCAAGCTTCAGAGATTTAGAAACGCAGTCACGATAACAGAGGGCGACACTGACGATAAAAAATGTTTGAATTACACTCAACAATTTATGACATCACAATTATAATCCATTGCAATAATAAAGAGTCTATTTTCCGCTGTAATCGGCGTTTCTAAAAAAAAAAAACCCAATCAATTTTATCAGGGATCGCTTTCGGCAGTCAATTTTGCGGGTCCCCGCGAAGCCGGCACCAGAAAAACAACGCCTTGGCGACAGAGTTTCGCTCAATGCTGACTCACTCTTATCATTAAGGCTCCCCAGCTGTCGATTCCTCAATGGAATTCCACCTCTGGGCGCTTCGTCGGACTCTCTTTGGCGGCGATGTAAATTGCACGATGGCCAATTTGGAGAAATTGCAATGCAAATCACTTAAAATGAGCCTCGGCCAAGTCAATAAATCTCATATGGTGCGGCATTTCGGAAGGTGAGAGAGGCTATCTTTCACTTTTAGCTTGATTTTAAGAGCTTCTGCTGTATTTTAGTGGCACAGAAAAGCACTCCAAGGCTCAGTGGAAATTCCCGCGAAAAATCAGCGGATTGAAGGGGTTTCGCGGGTTTTTCTCAATGGTCCCGCGATAAGGAGAGAAGATTTACAGTGGGAGTAATTCAGTTGTGAATATTTGCAATAACAAATCAATTTTGGAAAGTGTGGATTAGAAATACCAGAAATCCATAGATAATTTTTAGTGGCGCCATAACGTTCTTAATGTAAATTAAGAGAACTATTTCTACATATTTTCGGTATAAAAAGCGGTTAAAACGGTATGAAGAAGTCTTCTTATTCACAGTCTGTGTGCATTCGAGTGATCTTTATGGTGAAAACACAGCATTTGTAATTTGTAATTTGTCCACGATCATCTCTTTCTTCCCCTCGCGTTTCGTGTATTTTCCTTCCTACTCGCACAGTGGCTGTCTCGACATGTCAGAGTCGGCCGCTGACAAAGTAGGAAGGAAAATACACGAAACGCGAGGGGAAGAAAGAGATGATCGCGGACAAATTACAAATTACAAATGCTGTGTTTTCACCATTACTGTCTCCACACTCGCGGACAGTAAATCTTTCTTATGTTTTGCCCCATTTTTCCATGAGCGACTGTCTTGACCGAATGATCCCAATTCTCTGGCCACTGCGACACTCCTCCACGGATGTGCCTTCCCAGAAAGCTATTTTTCGCCCCAGCGCGAGAAGTTGAACGAACGCCGACCCGCGAAGATCTGCAATCCGTGCCACTCGTGACGTCAACGCTCACCTTCTTGCGGTTCAGCGTGATTAATGGCATGAGGAAACAGCACGAAATACTCCATATTTGCTGTGGTGTCGCGATCACGCGTTCTGGCGCCCGATTTCCCAGCGGAAGGCGAGTGTTTTTTTTCGATATGCGATCGATATGAGATATTGGTTCGCGTGACTGAAGACAGGCAGACGGAGAGGAAGTGATTAATAGATTTTTGGGCAATGACGATCATTGGACACCGAATATTGCCTTCGACTTCTTGGAAAGATGATTTGCGAGCTTTAAAGGTTTCCTCCGAATTCTTTGTGATCAGCATGACTAAGATATTTCGTGGACTTTGGACTTGGCTTGAGGAGCTCGAAATAGTGGAGAAATTTTCCGCCCAAAAGATGAGAAAGTTCATCAATTTTCACCCTGTTAATATCAAGTGCTTATCAGACGTGGAAATGCCACGATTAATATTTCTGGAGAGTTCAAAGTCTCCAGAAGAAATCTCTCGCGTTGATCTCATTCCACGTCTCCACATGGGAAGCATAAATCTCTGGCGAACAGTTAAAAAGCAGTTAATAGCAATGTGAAAATGTAAATATTTTGGGCAGAATCGGAGGCAAAAAAGGCAACAAGTGATAATCACAAGTGAGACTCCAGTGCATTTCGATGCAGATCGTGGAGCTCAGGAATAAAAAGAAATGTGACGAATAAGAGATTGGCGACACTTCCCAAGAGTCATTGTCTTCAATCTCTCTTCTCTAAATATTTTTCATTTCGCAATCTTATCAAGACTTAGTTTTTTCTGCTCTTCTCTCTCTCATTTTTGTTGTATTTCAATTAAAACGCGTATTTTCTGCGTGTGTCTCGTCGCCGAACAAGGCGAAGAGGAAGAAAGAGTAAAAAGAAATTCTCCAAGAGTTATGTAGGTCAATTTTTGATTTGTTCTAAATTCTCTGGGGCCACTTGAGGAGGCAAAAAATGATATTTATGTATTATTAAATTGAGATGAGAAGTGATCTCTGTCAGTGGCGATATTCTGCCTCATGCGAAAACACTCGGAATCGTCTTTCTTTTATCACTCCCACTTGGTTCAGCGGGTCAGCGAAGAGATTAATTGTTAAAAATATTATTTTTGCTAGTTAGCAATTGATTCTTGGGGACTGCCTTGTAATTTTTCAATATTCTCATGTGATTGAGAAGTGATCGTTCTGAGAGAAGAAAGGCTGTCAATTAGTGAGAAATCTGCATAAAGTCTCAAGATTTCGCCGTTTCATCGATACAAAGATCTTTTGTGGTGATCTCCAGGTGATGTTGCATGATAAAATGTCAGTGAATATCTTTAAAACGCAGTAACAATTTAAAACTCATAACAATAAATTCCTTAAAGTTGAAAATCCCGCACATTCACACACTTTGTGCATAGTTTCATGGATTTCGTGACAGAGAAACGCCAACGGATCACGTGAGAAAACTAAAACATACACCTTTTTAAACGCATTCCACTGCCAAGAGTCACTGTACTATTTTTCCGCATTGTCTTATGTCACATTTACGCATTCGAATTTTCTGCAGAAAAAACTGCATGTCGATCATGTGATCTTCAGGTCGATTTTCGTATGCAAATACCCGCCAAAATCCACGGGTGGAAAAAGTTTAAGGACACCCTCACGTGAAGCAGAAACTGTGAGTTCACGAATTGAATATGGTCGTGTGCGATCGGCCAATTGACGCGCGTTTTAACTGTCGCGATCGCGGAGTCATTATAAAAGAGGCCGTTTTTCTCGCATTTCGCGGCAGTTCGTTGCAAAAGTCACATCAACTATGAATCAATTTCTCGTGTTGTCCGAAAATTCCGTGATTGTTCAATCGTTAAGTGTGATCAAGATAAAACGTGGACTTAGTAAAGTGATTGCATCGATGCAGTGATAAGAAGAAACTGGGAAAGAATATTAATTAGTGAATAAATTGTGTTGATGAAAGTGAAGAAACTGATAACTTTTTATTAATTTATTGTGATAATTTAGACTCTTTAAAACAAGTACTTAAATTCCACTGAAAAAGTGACAGTGAGAAAAATGGTAATTATTATTTTCCGATGATCTTTTATGGGATTCTTGACCTTTTGTGCCTCTGGAAGCTACATTACTCAATTGCTTTTTGGGCGAGAGGCAACTGATAAGGGCGTTTGTCTTTCTCACATGTGATTTTCCGGCAAGACAAGCCTCGTGGTTAATCGTCAAGTGAAATTGCCGTGGGTGATGTGAAAAAAACAGAGTCACATGGAGACTATCGTCACATATTGACTCGATTCTCGGGACTGGCTAAATGTGTTGAGAATTCAAAACAGGACAATTAACTTCTTCCCGATCTTCCATGTGCACATTTCCAAGTAGTGACACGCTTCGCAAAAACGCCCGGAAGTCCACGAAAATGCTATTTTTATTTCACAAAAAGGCAAAGGAAATTGAGCGCGAACAAACAGCTCTAAAGCTGTGATTTATGAGTTGACAGATCCCAAAGGACGGCGTGTTTTAGTGTAACCTAGAAGGTTGATGATCTTGTTGACGTATAATTGCGCAACTCTTCACTTTCTCGCCACTTTCTTTGCCATTGGCTGTTAAAATACACCCGGAAATTGCATCGAAAGCACAATTTACGATGGCGCTTTCGCGAGCTTCGAGCCACTCAAGATAAGATACTGTGCAGTTGTGATCAAGTTTAGGTTGTTCGCTTGGCGCAGTGACGTCGAAAGTCGCGCTAAAGAATTTTGGGGACACCTGTTTAGACCCACTTTTGCCTTATCTAATCACACACTGAAAAGTGTGACGAAAAGAAGCGCGTGCATTTTTCACGAATTGTCAGCATGATTCTTGCAAATCTGGTGGAATTTTTCTCATTTCAGTAAATGCATTTTGTAAATTTGATAAAGGAAATCTGAGTTGGTTTATCGCGAAATTCGATTCGACGTGTCATGTCTTAAAAATAAATAAGTGATTCTCTCAATTTTTGCACTTATTCCTCTGAACACAACTTTAAAAATAAATTGAATGATTTCCTCCATGCGTACGATTTTATTATTATATTCGAACCTTTATTTTTAGGTCTTCTCGCGATGAAGTGTAAAATTTCCACTGAAAAAATTCCCTAAAAGCTTTTCTTCTCCATTTTGCGTATTAAAAGCCAAAGTATCTAATAGGAGATAAAATTAATTGCAACATTAACATTGAGTGAATGTCAAGAATGCTCGCAAAAGTTGATTACCAGCCATTCCTTTATGATCTTATTATTTATAAATAGACAGTGGGAAAGGGTGGGAAAGTGTAGTCGAAAACAAGATTAGGGCAGTTGTAGGCAGATTGTGACCCACGATTGTCTCTATTTCTTCCAGGCGATATATTCTGTGATGCTCCTGCTGATCTCAACCCTCCTGGTCACCCACGTGAGCTCCCAGCTTTGCTCCCTGCGCGACATGAAGGAGCACGCAATGAATGCGTGCGACAACCTGGCCAGGAAGATCCGCAGCCCCGACAATCACGAGTGGAATCCGGCCGTGTACTCGTACAAAGTGCTCAATGAGACTGAAAGTGAGTCGCCCTCGAGCTGAGGATCATTAGATTTCAATGCTGGAAGAGAGCGATCTGCTGATCGAGGACTTTTCTCGCACTAGACTTCCGCTTATTTGCATAATTCGCGAGCGCGGCCGTGACTTTGGCGCAGTCACAATATGCAAATCACAAATTGCAGAAATCGCAGAAATTGGGTGAAGGACTGGGGCGGTCAATGATTTGTTTTTGTGTCTCCCCTTGAGCCAAATTGTCATATGCGATCGTGAACCCGGCATTGCATGGAAGATTCCATTGGTCTTCTTGGCCGAATGCAGATCATCCTCAAGCCTCAATGGCCGCCATATGCTAATGATCTCTGTGGATTTCGCTATCGATTGGTATTGGGAATATTGACTGAAATCAAAACATCCCCGAAAATGGGTTTATTGGTCAAAATTTGATATTCTATTCTGAAATTTGCATACACCAGAAGAAGATTTAACAGTAAATATCGCGAGAGAACAGAGCCATGAGTCACACAAGTTTCTGCTATTTTTGCATTCTAATTTTCATGCGCTCATTTTTTGGTTCTAAAACATTCTTATTGTAGTCATTATTAAAAAAAAAACAAGGATATCCTATAGAACATAATCGCTAGAAGATTATTAGACTCTGCATTGATTTGATCTCGTGAAATTCAATTCAATATTATTACTGTTATCATTTCTTGACTCTCAATATCACAATTTCTGCCTTTCTTGCAGGTGGAAGACGCCGCAGAGGCATCGTTTATGGATGGAAAGAGTCGTATCCTGAGAACAATGGCTTCATCAGGATGAATCTGTCCCACAGACTCTACCATTTCCTTAGTCGGCAGCACTCTCATCTGCACAATAACGACGTCGAGGACTCTTTCGACGTTGCGCTCCTTGGAAAATTCTCCCGGGAGCATCGAAGACACCGCCATGGACACTCAACGCACGAAGTCAGGAGCAAAAGAAGTGACTTCAACGCTCTCGTGACGTACTGCTGTATCAGCCCAGAAGATGACGACTGCAATGACCATTTGTGCTTCGTATGAGTGTCGAAGAGTGGACAAGGAAGTGCGTAATCTCGAAAGTGCCAACGAGTGAATTGAGGAGTATCTCATTTAAGTTAAGAGACAATCTGCGTATTCATAGGACTTTATCGTGATGCAAGAGAATCAGCGAGTATTTTGTAAAATAAATTCGATTTCTAAGAGATACAGAGTTTTGCCTGCCTCCAGGGGTATAAAGTGTGTCTTGGCTGATCGTTCTTCCGCTCCGTTGATCGTGATCTTGGTGTTCTTTTTACTTTCTTAGAGAGAGATGATGTCATCCACAGATCAATGCACGGCAAATATTAGCTTCTGAGGCGGCTCACACACAATCAAAGTCAAATAAAGAGTGTGAAAACATTCCGCGAATACGTGGGAAGCCTTCGTGCAAGGAAATGACAAGGAAAGGGGTGGAAAATCGATTTATGCATCATGCATTTCCCATTAGTCAATGGAGACCCAGTTGGAAAATCCCCACTTTGCGAGATGTGTGTATGTTTCATGACGTCTTGCTTTCGCAACTGGTTTTCCTCTCAGTTTGTTGTATCGCCTCGGTTGGCACGGAGATTCATTAAGTCGCCGGACTTGGTCGCGATCTCAGACTCGCTCCGGGTGTCGCCAAGAGAGGAGATAGAGAGAATCTCAAGACAGCGTCTGATCTCTGTGTGAAATTCTCAAATAGTAAAACAAATACTCCAAGTGTTCCAAGTCAAATCAATTTGCATAGTGCTTGTGTGTATTATTGAGGAAGGAAATTCAATAAATCGTCTCCGTGACTGGCCTAGTTCTTAAGTGCTTTTTCTTCAACAGTCAGGTAATGAAATGCCGAAAGGGCTGTGATAATATCGACTAGTTTTGAGTTTTGACAATGAGTGATTGTGAAACAATTTGGTATCATTTGTGGTTAATTACAAGGAAAAGTGGACAAGACAAATTCACTAATTGAGGGCAGAGTTGAGGAGACGCTGGAAGAGATATTTATAGATGGAAGATAAAAATTTATATGTTAATGTGATTACGCAAATTAATGAAATTAAATTATTATTATTGCTTTTACAATAAGTCATTTAAACACATGATTACAAGTTTAATTGCGGCTTTATGTACTCATTTCCATAATCTATATTCTTGTCCACTCTATTTTGAGGCATTCAAAGAAAATTGAAGTGCGAACTTCTGTTTTCGGGAAGGTCTGCTTGTGCAATTTCACGCAAATAATATACATAATTTCACTTGGCAGCAAATTAGTGTTTCCGAACATTCTAAAAATACCTCTTCTCAGAATCTCTTCTACTCGCGATTTCTCACTACTGAGAAATATCATCCCCTCGTTATTATTTACGTGGAAATGGAACAAAGGGCGTGTGACCTGATAAATGCGTTGAGTGCTGTAATAAACTCACTTGCGTGATTAAGAATTCAGAACGCCGTTGTCTGGGATTTTTTGCCTCTCAAATAATGTCGCTTTGCGGTCCATTTTCGCAGATCTCTTAAGTGAGTCATCAGTGTTCGAAGATGTCCAATTCCAATCACCACGTGTCGATTCACCTGCCCACGATCGGAGAAAACAGCCGAGAGACCTTCATTGAGGAAAATGAGACCACAAGAGGTCGCAGATCCCGAAGAAACTCAGCCGACAGCGCTCTTGGCAGAGGCTCGCGGACGAATTCCCCGCGCCCGGCAAGTGTGAGTGTCAACTTCTTGATAACAATAAGGGATAATTACCGCGCTATGCGTGAATCCAGTTTCTCAGACAATCAATTCATTTATGACCTGATTGGGAAGATAAGAAAAAAAACACGCAGGCGATTGTTGAGTTATTTCTAGTAATCTATTTTGCTCTCCACTGTTTGTTTATTCTTTGTCATGTGCTTTTCAATGTTTTATATACAGTGATTACCTGTAGCGGAAAACTCCATGAATAAAAGATGAATTGTAATCGCTGAATGTGAATTGAAATACCATTCAAAATGACAAAGCTTTATCACTCGCGATATTGCAATTTACTGCATGATCGCGAGAAATTCTTCCTCATCATCTTAGCTAATTTTCTTGAAATGTTCATTTGACTTCCTAATCTTAACTAGTGATCGTGTTGATATAATTGAAACCACTCTGCAAGGAATGCTTTGTGTCAGATGCTATCTGTGAATTCCGCGCTTCATTGACTCATTGACAAAGAGCGACTCATTGAAGTTTTCCCCATTTTTCAGAGATCACCGAGGAGGAGCAGGAGGAGCTTGGATGCTGCTATAAATGATGCTGCACCTCTGTTAGAGACTGATTTGCCACCGCGTTATCCGCCGCTTGCAGGTGAATCTCACTTAATTGCTTCTCTTGCATGGCTTTGTGTGCTTGGCTGCCAATAAAAAGCGTCACTGAAGTAGAGATAAGGCACTCGTGGCATTCATGATATCGCTTAGAGTGGCGGGCAGAGATTTTGGGAATGTAATCTTGTACAAACATACTGATTTGGGGTGTCTTTTCAATGATATCATGCATTCAGATATTCAGATGACGTTTTTTTGATAGATTTTGAAGGTATTTTTGTACTTTTATTCATGCCTCAGACAATTCCGTAAGGCATCATCAAGTGAGAAGATTCTATAGTAAGTGAAATTACGCGGATAAACTGACCTCATGTCTAATCTACGTATCTTTTCATGTTATTTGACAGGACCGGAAATAGATGACAATGATAGTCCAGATGACGATGTTCCGTACAATTCTGACGCTCACCCGGGAGTGGATGATGGCTTTTTCCCTGAAGTTGGTTCCAGAGCAGGTGAAGACGACCCAGAAGAGAAACCAGTTGCTCCCAACGGACAAGGTCCTCGCCGAGGGAGTGTTCCAGCCGCGTTTCCTTACGCTCCCGACTTTGGCCCAAGCGTCCTTATAAATCCCGAGACTCCGCGGGTCATCCCAGATGTGAACGTTTACCAGCACAAGAAAACACTCGCACAGGGCATGATGGACCTGGCCCTGCTCTCAGCCAACGCTAACCAGCTTCGCTACGTCTTAGAATCATACACTCGACATCCTTACTACTACTTCAGCGTGACTTTCATCTCGATGAGCTTGATCTTGCAAGTGGCAGTGGGAATCGGTCTGGTGCTCAATAGTCGCTACGATGTGAGGAATCAAGACGATATTTGCAAGGCAAACAAAATTAACAACTTCACAGTCATAGGGATTTTCTTAATCACCATTGTTAATGTGTTTATATCGTCTTTTGGAGTGGCAGATCCTCCACCTGACATGAGAAACTAATTTTTAGGGTTGAGGATCCTGGAGACCATAAAATTCCACCACAGTGAGCATTGTTGGCCGAAGGCAGGTTTATTTCTGCCGCTCAGTCTGATAAGGAGGCACAAGATAGCGATAAACGAGCTATGGGAAGGTGAACACATTATGCTAATGCTCGTCATTTTCACACACAAGTCGTGATATTTATTGGGAAGAGTTACTATACTCTATTACTGTTACTATACTTTATTAGGCATTATAGACAATTAACTCTCTCACTGTTTCAACTTAGATACTCACCAAATTTCGATATTAAAACTAATAAAGAATTTTTAAATAAAAAGCTATTTACTTGTTGCTCTCAATACCTAGACTTGGAAGATTGTGGCGAGCCGATTTGTCGGAATCTCTGAAGAAGACACCGCGGAAAGCGGCTCAGTTGGCTTCTTGTCAGTGCGTAGAGTTGGTCATTCTCGGAACAGCAAACCCTTTATGGCAGGGTTCCAATCGAGTGTGCTGGATGTGGCATTTGATAAGATCGGCAAAAAGTATCCGTCGTTTAAGCGCGAGACCGGAAGAAAAATGATAGATGGCTTGTCGGGTGTTTACAAGTCTTTTAAGAATCGCCGGCAGAAGAAAGAGAGTGAAAATGGGTCAACTAATCCCAGTTCAGAGGAGGAAATGAAACTCATCCGGAGGGATTCTGACAGGAAGTCTGAAGTGGTGGAAGTAAAGTGTGATAATGACACAGATAAGGACTCGAATAAGGATAAAGAAGAGACACAGAAGACTGATGATAGTGATGATTGTGATTTTCTCACGGCGGATGAAGATGAAAATCCTGATGAGGAAAAGGAGAAGAAAGATAAGACTTCTGGAGATGAGGATGATCCTGAGAAAGGTAAAACAAATTTGATTAAATCTGGAAAATTTCATAAACCCCAAACCCTGTTTTTCTCAGGTCTAAAGCCAAATGAAACTGTTGTCGATTGCGGACCTGCAGGCGTGGAGCCTCACCACAAACCGAAGGTTTATCTCTTATGTTAAGAGACTGTATAACTAACTTTTATTAACATTTTTGCTTGGCTCCAGGGCGTCGATATATCTCAATACCTGCAGAAGAAGAGCATGGCTCAGGGGATGCTAGATTTGGCCTTGCTCTCAGCCAATACCAATCAACTTCGCTACATTCTCGAAACCCGGGACGATAATATGTACTTTTACGTGAGCATTACTCTCATCATCAGCAGCCTCGTCCTGCAAGTGGCTGTGGGCATTATGCTGATCTGGAGTCACCGCTTCAATATGAGGAGGCGCAGTGGAATGGCTTCTGCGGATCGCATAAACAATCTCTCAGTCCTGGGCGTCTTCCTGATCACGTTAATAAACGTCTTCATCAGCACTTTCGGCGGAAGCAGTGCATCTGGAGCTGCTCCAGCTCCAAATATTCCTGTTCCGTCTCCCGATGCTCCAAAACCTCCTCCAGTGGACGCTACACTTCAAGCGCCAGTCGCCCCAATGGACCCGGGAATAGCCATTGCGTGAATTTAATGACCTCACACAACTGAGTAATTAAGCCAGCATAAACCAAATGATGAGACTTGGCGGACTTTTGCAACTCTCAATGCTCCAAAGAGTCTACCTTGAGTCATTTTGCTAAAAAAAATTATGTGATCTGTAGGTGGAGAATTTTCGAGATAAAGCATGGATAGTGATATTGCATAACCCTTCTCGGGAATTCCCGACCATCAACTTCTCCCACTGAAAGAGTCTTTCTCACAATCAATTTCTCCGTCTTTGGGTGATTAATTTCGCCCATAAACTTATATGAGAGCGTCACTGTTGAAGGGCTGCGATTGAGATGCTCTCTTCCTCATCCTTCACACCTTCGATATAATTGCCGTCACGTTCCCGCCTGAGTGCCCCATATCGGCCCATCAGGGAACGCCCTTCACGCTTTGCGTTCCCACCTGTTCGCAAAATCCGAGAAGGCGTTCGCTAATCGCCTTTTATTCGCATCACGAGTCTCGGTATCACAAATCCGAGGTGGTCCCTCAAAATTCCCAGTGTGTTCCATGGTTAAATTCTACGTGTCGCCCAATGAGAAGCGCTCGCTGTACCTCAAAGAGCTGCTGGAATTCAGCTCCAAGGAGCAGGAAGGAAGCTTGATCAGAGAAGTGATAAGCAAAGAACAGAAGTGGACAATCTCGATTATTGTTGTGTATATTCTCGAAATTTTAATTCTTGGGAAGCTCTGGAGACCTATTATTACATTCTCAGCAGTTATGACCTGCCTTTGGCTGGTATTTCAGCAAGAAATTGTGAACACGGAGCAATTCAGTTGGAACCTTAATAATTTCAGTGGTTTCTTGATTAATTTAACTTTGTCTGCAAGAAATTTTATCTCCAAAGAGATAATGAATAAATAAACTGAAAAAATTGATTATTTATCAAACAAAGTTGTCAAAACAAGTTAATGGTTTAATTTTTCTTCCATTTTTCCGATCCATGTTCTTTTAAATTTGAAATGTCCAATGATTTGCTGAAAGAGTTCCTTTTTGGGATACCAATGGTTTTCCCGCTCTTTCTGCTCATTTGCGCAAAAGGCGGGAAACTCGCGATTTTCATCTTCTTCACGATTCTCCCCAGCGCAGCTGATAGTGATAAATGACTATGCACTGCCCCATATGCAGAGCATTAGAAGAACAAAGCCCATGCCAAAGCTCGGGCCACCGGGCGCCTCCATTGTCGCTCTCTCAGCTGGAAGGCGCTATAGTGGCAGCTTTATAAGTTCACTTGGCGGCTCGCTTCGCTTCACACCTGTCCGGCGAGGCTCGCGAGTGAGGCGCGAAAATCTTGAGAGCATTCTGTGAGGCTGCAGCCGGGGAAAGCCTGTCCCAGTGGCGCGGAAAAATATTCAAACAGACCATCTTGCGTAACTCTCTCGCAATTGTGAATTCATTATGACCGCGGCGATCCAATAATTAAAAGTGAAACTTGTTCGGTTCTTCACTTTTTTTGCCTTTTGATTGTGAGTGGGTGGCCAAGGAGATTTTCGTCGCTGCATCGTGGAAAATGCTTGGAGATCTTGAGTGATTCTGAGAGATTTTCCGTGGATGGCAGAGGATTTTTGTGTGTTTGTGGCTCCGCGACAATTGCAGTTTAATGGTTACAGTGATGCAAAAGAAGTGCTCTATGAGTGATTTTCCTAACTGTTGTGCATTTAACAGCTTCTTCTTCTTCTGGTGACAGCGCGTCTCAGTATCAATTTTTGCACTGCTCTGAGAGAAAAGACTTTGGTGTGACCGAAAAAGTGTCGTAGGATTTGCAAAAATTCGCCTAAGCCGAAAAAGCCACCGAGAAAATGTGTCAAATGAGGTGAGAGCAATTTTATCTAACTGAACCCACGTCAAATGCTCAAATCCCGTTCTATTCTAAAATAGCAGTGTTTGGAATCCCTTCTCGCAATATGAATATGAGCCAGAAATAATTGATGTCAATTTTTGGTACGCCCTCGAGAACATGCGCTTCTTCTTGTAATTCCGTGCACAAAAAATATGTTCTAACACAATGTACCCAGAGTCACACTTTTATGCCCTGAAAACGATCACTGTCGCTGATAAAAAGCGCTAAGACACCTCAATTGTCTTAGTTGTGCACTTGTGCTGCATCTCTGTGAGAATTTTCGCCAGTGACAAAAGGCCAGAGGCTCGCAAAATTCCTGGAAGACCTTCCCAGGGCAATTTCAAGCCCATGGACGATGATAAGGCATAATTTTAATCAGTTGAGTGATCTAGAAGATGCTATACTTGTGGATGTTGGTGAGAAATCTGGCCCAATGATCATGAGATTGAGAAGATGTGATCAAAAACAGCTCGGCTAAAGAGCCTCTTTCGCTCCGTCTGGGGAATTCATTCAATTGATCAAAATCAATAGTCTTATTAACCCATTTTAGACAAATGTTCTTACTGTTGTTTTAAGAACTTTTTTTCATCGACGCGCCTGAATATTGTGAGAATGGCAATTTCTGTCAATCACTTGAGGAAGTTGTAAATTCGAAGTGTTCGTTCCCTTCAATCACACAGAAATGATGTTAAGGAATAATCGGCAAAGAGCAGAACTTTACTAATCTAATATACAGTCCTAAATGACAATAAATCACTCATTATACGCGTATTCACTTATGAATCAGTTCTCTTTAGAATGTTCTAAATTGCAACTTTGGCACCCAGCAGAACAATTCTTTGTTCGCTTTTCCATGCACGCTTCAATAGAGGAATTCCTGTGACTTTTGAACCCAAAACACCACCCATAATGTGTAACATTTCTAGCTGGGAGAAAAGCCACCGAAACGTGGAAATAATTGTGTCTTTGTTCGCGCCCCAAAGAAAGTTCTTGCAGTTGAGAATTCATCTCGGGAGAATCATTCACAAAATCTCCATCACGTCCTCTTATAGGCGAAGAAAGAGAATCAATCCCGTTTCCCTAATCTTCCGCGAAATTGCATCCAATTTTGAATACATAATTTTACCTTTGCCAGCAATTACATTGCGAGGGGGCATCGCGATGGTTGTTACTTTATTAAATGTTGCGTGGCTGACTTAAGGCGTAATGTGACATACTGTTAATGGAAGATGGCATTAGAATGGGAGATTTTTTAGGCGGCGTGTAATTTCTCTATTAGGCCGGCAATCATCGGGTGAATGACTGAGGAAAGGGTCCATATTAAGCAAGGCGGGGGCCTGAGAGTGGAGAAGCGTGATCGATTAGTGTGGCCAAATGATGGTGTGGAATTGAGTACGCGTGATTGGCTGCCGATTCACCCTGTTCTTCCTTGGGGAGATGTTCTTATGCACCATAAAGTGGGTCTCTGGATCAAAAGGCCACGGCGAAGGTGGAAGAGGCAATTTCCATCCGCCGAACACTCTCAATCGGCCAATTTGGAGCCAGCATTCTATCGCTAGATTGTGTGAAATTTTCCTCATCGCGAGCATTCCTGAGCAATTCGTCGATTGCTCGAATTCTTTGGCTGAGAAGAGTTGCTCTCATTAGCTTGAAAAGTACTCTCCAGAATCAGGCCACCAATGAACCCTTCTTTTCCCAAGAAACAGACAAACTGCCATTTCTTAGTCACTTGACAAACGGTTTGTAAAAATTGACTTGTAACCCATTTTCTGCAACCAAATCAAATCCGACTTGATTATAATGTCGATCTGGCCAGAGATCGCGATGTTTGAGTGAAAAACTCTTAAGCGCAACTTCATCATCGATCGATGATCTCAAGATATTCCCACCCTGATGAAGAGAGTCAGCAAATATGCCTTTGGCCGCGTGTTTTTCCCAGGTGATGCAAAACCGCGAAAAAGAGTGGCTGGAAGAAGACAGTCACATGGCTCCTCGACTCATGGCAAAAAAGGGCCACAATAAACAAACAATCATCCAATTCACGGGAGTCACTCGCGATATTTATTGATGCACGTCTATGTGGTTTTTGCAATTACTCCTCACCCATCCAATTCGATACAGATCGGAGCCATGTGCAAGAATCTTTCTTTGTCTCAATGTCGAGGATCTCTTGTGGCTTTTACTGTTCTTGTCGATTATTAATTTAATTTTGGTTTTAGCCAAGGCGAAGAGACAATTTTAGTGCCTCGCGATCACGTTATGTCATCATTGGCGTAGGAAAGGCAGCAAAGCATTAATTGAATCCCGTTTGCGCGCCAAGAATTTTTGCGCCTCACTGTATATGTATATGGCTTTAAGAATTCCACCTTTTCTCGTCATTGTGCATTATTTTGCAGTGTGGAAGAGCCCCGAAGAGTGACTTCATGGAAATGATCACGTTTCAATCATCCAAAATAAATTACATGGAGTGTGGAAAGAAAGAAAGAAAGAAATTTCCCAGAGACATTTCCTATTATTAACCACACTTATATTCTATGCAATATTCTTCTGCCTCACTCTCTTATACATATATTCTTAAAGTATCCGAAGGAATCTCCGATTCGCAAAATTGGACGCTTTTGCGCGCGCTTTTTCACCACTCGAGTCGCAAAAGCACCAATTATGGGCGCTTTTTATCTATGCCTCCTCCATAACGGTCCAGAACCTCTTGTCAACAAAGAGACTCGCGGATGTCGTGACCTTGACTGATCTGACAACAATTCCAATTGCCATATACCGAATGCATCTCAATTATCCCACCTTCACACAGCATATATTGATTTTGACGAAATTTATGCCATTTTGCCATGGGAAGAAAACAGTTCTTCTGTCTCTGCAGTTATGATCCATCTTTGCCACTCTGGGGAAAAGAACATAACTGATCGAGAGCGAGGCTGGTGTCAAAGAATAGAACCAGAAAAAAACCTGGTGAAGAAAGAGAGTCAATTGAGGTGAAAATCGCGAGGCCGAAGATCGAGCGCCCCCACTTCGTTAAATATAGAGCAATTTCTTACGTCTTCCCCATCTCTCTCTGCAGATTGCGCCAGATCGCCTTCGCCATTTTCGTCATAGTCCAGGTAAGACAATGGGGCATCTTACATCAAAACCCATTTCTCGACATCTCGCCAGAGAGCGCAAATAAATCCGAATCAATTGAGAGGCTGCGTCTGGCGATGAGTCAATTTCCCCTTTTGCTCAATCTCACTTTCGCCCCGGATCTTTGACGCAATTGCAGATCACTGGATGCCTGGCGGACACCGCCGAGACGTCCACGGACGTGAGCATCACAGGTCATGTGACGAAGAGCGTGAGCAAATCGCCAGGCAACAGGACTGCCTTTAAGCCCACGCCCAAGATCTTCGTGCCAGTGAGTCATCAGACGCCTTCGAAGCTGCAGAAACGGGCTGAGGACACTAAGACAGCCGCCACGTCGGTGGAGGCACAGAACCAGAGCCGAGAGGCGCTCTCCCACGAGGGAAGCGATCCGGTGAGTCAGTTCAGTTTAGAAACTTCCTCACCGGCAAATTTGAATGAGTGGGTGAAATCCTATGAACTCTTTTCCTGCATATCCTTCGTTTCAGCTCATTTGCGATATCATTGTATCACATTAGATTTTCTAACACTTTTGGCGTACTTTATGGACTCATGTACCATGTGAGTAACACACAATGCCTGGAATTTTCAAAAATATGCCTCAAGCGCCTCAATGCAAGTCAATGTTTCCACATGACTAATATCATTGTGTAAGCACTCTCGCGAAGTGCTCCCAATTAAATTGCTTCTGACGATAGATTCTCATCTCGCGTTCTTGACCATCTGCCATCGGAAATTCCTCCAAAATCTGTCACGATGATGGCGAGAGAGAAAAGTGCCGAAAGCGCTTGTCTTGAGCGTCTCGCTTCAGCGGATCCTGGAAACAAAAATACAAAAATAACATATTGATGGTCAATTGAGGTGAAGAGGGGAATTTATATTCTCTTTCGAAATGCCTATTTCACACAAATGTGGCCATGGAAGGCATGTGTGGAGTGTGTAGTTCAAATTCAAGAGAAAAGAATCAACTTTCCCACAAGGATTGCCACCTTGCAATGAGATTCATACGTCTCCTCATATAGCAGTCAATTTGTGGGGTTAATTTACCCTGAAGATGTGTGTGAAATTTGGGGTATTCTTCTCGACAGACTCTCAAAATCTCGACCATGATCAGCAAAGTGGCTCAGCGTTTTTAATTGTGGGCTGATTGCAAAATATCCTCCAGCAATAAAATTCACATTGAATCATTTCATGGTCGATGGCATACATTTTGTCCTCAGAAGCTCTCATTTCTGCGTGGAAGTTGTTTTGCAAAATCTCATGAATTTTCCTGATAATGATTTCTTTTTTTCATAAAATATTTCCGTATTGCTTCTATTGAATTCTTTGAATTTGGTAATTGTTGTTAGTAGATTTTCTTGTTTTCAATGAAAGAAGAGTCTCAATTTGTCGACAAAACACATTTTTAGTTATTATTAATAATTAATGTGTGGAAAGTCAACGTGTTGTTCTGCCTTATCTTTCCAATCAGAGGCCTCCGTCAACCTTCGAGCGTCTTTTATGGTTTTTCTCATGAGGCCACAGCAACACCCTCGCCGCGAAAGAAAATTTCGAGGCAATAATTGTACAATTACCTGGAATTTGAATGGCTCGCGGTTAAGGTGTCTCGCAGGGCCGGATATTGGCCAACATCTCACCTCCTGGGCTTTTCTCGCACCTGACGCGTGGATTATATTCAAATTTGTGGGCGTGATGAGACTTCACCTTCGCCTCCTGCATCCAGAGAGTGTGTCGCAATACGCCTTTATGAGATGTCTTCATTCTTCACAGGTGGTTTATCTCTCCGACACGGCGGGATACATTCCAGTCACGCCCATCCGGACGAGGATTCCCGCCGCCACGTCCTACCACACTGGAGCCTCCGTCGACCTGGAGTCCTGGCGGCCTGATCTCTGGGACAGGGACTACACGAGGCGGTATCGATTCAACAACACCCGAGTCCAGCGTAAGTACAGCGCAAAAAGTGGGCGAAATGTTAAAGAGATCGCCTCGGAAGTTGTTAATCTTCGGATAAATGAGACAAGTCAGGGTCCAAGTGTTAGTTAAATATGAATACAATTGAGTATTTTCGGATGTGGCGCACTTTATTGAGAAACTTTGCATATTTTTGTGTCATCATTTTGAATTTTTGGGGTTTACTAAAGCGTCTAATATAAAACAAAAAACATTCAGGAGACTAGAAGAATCACAAGAATGGGTTTAAACGCAAAATCCCAGGAAATATGCTTCTCATCTCCACTAATCTTGACATTGACCTCTGAGAAAAGTAAAACTCTCTCAGAGTTGTGGATCTTCCCATAAATATTTCGCATTCCTGTGGGCACACAAAAGGGAAGATCTCCGTGTTATCAATCACGATATTTCGAGCGAGAGAGAAAGGATTGAGAAATTAGATGGGAACAATTGATGGTGGCTAAGCAGAAAAGAAGCTCATTTGCTGAGTCTCTTCCTCCGGAGACTCCCTCAATTGTCCATGGCGATCACTTTCATTGCCTCCTCTCTTTGAGGTTGTATTCTTGTGGTGGTCGTGGCAATAATTAAATGATCGTGGCGAGGAGAAGAAATTTCAATTAATTATTGTAATTCACCAAGAGAGTTCAAACTTCATAATCTTTTCGTTGGTTTTCCTCATCATCTCAACATTGTCTTGCCTTCTTTTTTCCTCTTGCAGACATCGAAGCCGAATGCCAGGATGATTACATGAAGATCCGAATCGGATTTAATGGTTCATTTGCTGGCCTCCTATATTCAGCAGGTAATTGACTTCCCACCATCATCATCATCGTGATATTCATTGAGTCACACACCAATTCATTCATCCGAACGCGTCCGATCAGTTGGAAGAGACGCTGTCATTGTGCAAATTGTCATTAAGGGCCACCCTTTGTCGACTTCCTCGATGCCCTTCCCATCTGATGCACTTGCACTGGATGGCCATTATGAGAAAACTTCACACTTCTGCGCCATTAAGACGCCCATTTGTTCAACCTAAGAGAGCGCCATAAATTGAATTATTCCACCTGAAAGGGAAAATTGCACCTTGTCATCGTGTGTCTCTTCCTGAAGCCAATGGGAAAATCACATCGCGAGGAATTTCATTCAATTTTCATTATTTTGATTGCGCACTCGCGAGAATTGCATTAGGAATCTCTGTGAGTGCTTTCAGTTGGTTTAAGACAAGCGTTAACTCTTCGAGAGCACATTGATGCCAAAAGGCACAACAAGAAATCATCACGACCTCGCTAAAGGGTTAATTAATTAAAGAGAGAGAGAGAAAAAGTGTCTAAAAAGTGGCAAAGCAGATCGTGATTGTTGCCTTCGATGGTGGTTCTCCCAAGTCTGTAAATATGAAATTACCGTGACATCAGGAACAATGTGTAAGAACAGAATGATCATGCAGACACCGTGAAATTTCTTCACTCCATCGCCGAGGCGATTCATTATGTTTTCTGCACATAAAAAGAAGACCTTCACGAATAAACAGTCCATCATTAATTGAGTGATCACTTTCTTGCATGTGAATGCACTCACAATCCTCTTCTTCCCGCCCAGGCTATGCGTACGATCCCGATTGCATGTACATCAACGGATCCGGCAGGGACTACTATGAGTTCTACATCCAGCTGAATAGGTGCGGAACCCTGGGAAAGAATGCTCACGGCGAGGACAGCCGCAAGAATCCCACTGTAAGACGTTCTCTTAACTCATCCTCACGACTGATCTCGAAGGATTTATTTTTGTATGCAGAAAAACTTCATGTGGAACACCATCACAGTTCAGTACAATCCTCTGATCGAGGAGGAGTTCGACGAGCACTTTAAGGTCACGTGCGAATATGGTTACGATTTCTGGAAGACAGTGACTTTCCCTTTCTTGGACGTTGAAGTGGCCACAGGCAATCCGGTTGTCTTCACGCTAAGCCCTCCGGAGTGCTATATGGAGATACGCAATGGTTATGGAATCAATGGAGCCAGAGTGGCTGGACCGGTCAGAGTTGGAGATCCTCTAACGCTTATCATCTACATGAGGAGCAAATACGGTAAGATTGCTTAACAATTTTGATAAAATCATATGAAATGAACTAAATTTTCTATAAGTGAAGGATTTACCTCTCTATATATAATTTTATTTCATTTTTGTGGAGCTATTTAAGTTTATTTACCACTATTATTTATTATACATTTTTTTCAGATGGATTTGATATTGTCGTAAATGATTGTTACGCCCACAATGGAGCTAACAAGAGGATACAAATGATCGACGAATTTGGGTGTCCTGTCGACGATAAACTGATCTCTCGCTTCCGAGGTTCTTGGTCAGAAAGTGGAATCTATGAGACGCAAGTTTTTGCCTACATGAAAACCTTCAGATTTACAGGATCTCCTGCGCTTTACATCGAATGCGACGTACGGATGTGTCACGGAAGATGTCCAGTAAGAAGTCTTAAACATCTCTAGAGATCATAATTAATGCTTCGATGGTCTTTCAGAGTCAACCTTGTCACTGGAGGAATCTCAAGAGTGTGGCGAAGAGAGAGATCGCCAACCAAACAATAGAGAATGACCCTCCAAGTCGAGAGACAATCTCAGACAACATCAGCCTCTTCCAGTCCCTAAGAGTGCTTCAAGAAGAGGATGATGAGTTCCTAGACGGCGCCGCTAATGATAACTTTGCAACGAAACGTGAGGCTCCGAATGAGACTTGTCTCAAGACTTCAATGCTGTTCACACTCGTGGCCACGAGTTGCGCTGTGATCTTCGTCCTGGCAGGATCACTGCTCACCACGTGTACGAAGCTAAAGTACAGAAAGGCCGAGGGAGGCTTCTTCGACACCTATGTGAACCACAAGGGTCAGATTGAGTGAAAGCAGTGCAGGCGAGAGCATTTGTGATCGAAAACCCACCATCAAACACCATTCATGGAATTCGCGCGTCAAAATTCTTCAGGATCAGAACAGGACAACTTTGTAAATAATCCTTCGCATCCTTCGCAACTAGCTTATCTCTGAACTGACAATCTATTAATAGCATAAAATCGAAATATAATTAAGTGATTTCAGTAATGGTGAGGAAGAATTTTACAACATGCGTGTTCTCTAAGCATGAACAAATTACCTGAATATTGTACAAGAGTGATACAAATAGTTCTTGTGTAGCATTACATTGAGAAAGTTCATGATACTTTACCATTGATTTGAACAGAATTCTTACAGGTGTGAAATGTTAGGCTTCAATGCACTTGCAGCATTTCTCTACACTCTTCCTCGCCAATTCACTGCACAATCTTAGATTAAGCTTAGTTGTAAGTATCGGGCAAATTGGTCTTAGGAAATCTTATTTAAGGAGACATGAAAGTGTCGTAGGCGTAAATCTTGGGTCGAGGTGGTGGTTAGAATAAGGCGATACTTCTTGTAAATAGGAATTTAATAAATGAATTTCGTCCACATACAAGAGCAACAGCACTTACCAGACTATCTGTCTCCTGGCGCGGTAGTGAGTATCCTCAGGCAGGTGGTGAACTACTTTCCTTGGCTGTATAGGAATAGCCCACTGATTACCGCCCAATGTTACTCTAGCTGCCGAATCCGCTTTACGTTTGCACGATATCACATTTATACAGAGCTTGATTGTGAAGTAGTAAAGCATCTCAACCAGACTTAACACTGAACCCCCTAAGCAAAGTCCAAAGATTCCACCAAATGAGGCTAGAAGACCATCCCAGGACATATAGAGGTCTCGACGATATTCTATGCAAGTTAGTTCTTTGAAGTAAACCAGGATTGAAGTGAGATTTGTAAGATCCGCGTTCCCATATAGTGGCTCCTTGATTCCGGTGTGAGTTCTACTGGCCGTGGTCACTGAGATCTGATAGTTCTGCTCAGAGCAACTCGGCAAGCAAGGGCAGTCTATCCCTATATCAATAGTGGTGTTGAATCCAGGTGTGTTTAGAGGCGGCTGAAGACTCTCGAAGATAGCTGCGGAGGAACAAGAGATTACACTCTGAAATCTAAGAATACTAGCGCCTTACATCGATAATTGCGAAGACAATCCACGTCATGTAGATCACATTGACGATATTCATTAGCAAAGGTCGAAATGTCCGGGAAGAAGAAGGGCAGACACTTGCATTTCTTCACTATTGTATCCACTCTACACTCTGCTATGCAAGAGTTCAGCGTGTACTTCTTCGTTGCTCTCAGCTTGTATTCATCATTAAAGTAGCAGTTCCTCTTGTGCACTGCTACTCCTCTAACTGATGGCCTACTAGACACTACAGAAGGCTTAACTGCTATAACTACTTCCTGCCCAGGTTGAGCCACAGCTGTCGTCACTGAAGATTGAGGGAACTCCTCGGCATCATGAACCATCACTTCAATTCCATAGTAGTTCCTCGTCATTGCAACTGAATCCTCCGGTTCTATGTCGACAACTATGTGCAGTCCTACATTCCGACCAGACCCACTAACGTGCAGAACCTCAGAAGTGCCCATTGTGTCGTTAGACTCCGTATCTCTTAAATGAAATAATATTGATTAGTAGTCTAATTAAGACGCTCTAGCGTCATCACTTACATTTCAAGGAAGGACTTGAGAGCTCTATAATTGAAGGAGCAGCAAAGACCTTCTGAACTCTTGGAGAGTTTGAAGATACTATGACAAGGAACTTCATTGCCTAGCCAAAAGCACAGCTTAAGCATGCTTTCGCATGGCTGAACCAGTTCTATCATCAAGCGCTCGGTGTTGTAGCCAAACTTTTCGAGAATTGAATATGTCTTAATATAAATCGAATCCACATTTTCAGGTGATATTAAATTCGATAGATTTTCCAGGAATTCTTGCACTGTGTCGATTTCAATGCCATTTTCCATTAATATCCTCGTGATGTTTAGAGTGTTTGGGCGATACACCTTATTGATATTGCAAAGAGTAACACTAGGGAAGGGCACGTCCCAGACTGGATGGCTGGTAGTCTCTACTGTTGTCACAGTTGGTGTAGTTTGGAACCTATCCCAGACCAAACTCATCATTGCCACGGCAAAAATTGCTCCGGATACGCAAGCAGTCATCCAAACCTGCAAAAACACACTGATCTGAGTCCCAGTTCAATAATTCTTCTTGCACTCTCTACCAAACGACTTATAAGCGTCGTTAACTGCTTAAGTTTCCTGTTGTAACCATCCGGGTTCTTCTTCCCCACAATATACCGAACGCCATGAAGCGTTGTCTCCTTGCAGAACATCTCACAAGTGTCCGCCACTCCTTTCAGGATGAAGTTCCTCTCATCAATTCTGACGCACAACTTCACAGGAGCGTCCCAGTTGATCCTGAATCTGGATTTCCTTCTGAGAGCGGTTTTGTGCGGAGTTACCTTCATGACTGAATCCTGAATGCAGAGGCGAATGTGGAAAGGGAGACTTTTATAGGCACTCAATTAGCACGCGATGAGTCAATTAACACCCCCGAAATTGTCTGTTTAATTACTCTTGAGGTGTTGACTCGCGTGAAAGGACGAAACTTTGACCAGAGTTTCCCTAGAAGTCCTGCTGTATTCCCACGCTTATTTGCTGAGAATGCTCTGAGAATACTTACAAGTCAGGTGGAGTCAACAAACATCAAATGTTTCCAGTAAAATGTAACACATCATTCCTTGAGTGGGGGTGGCATTAAATGTGCGAGACTTATAAAATCTCGGTTGATTGCCCTCTTGAGGTCTCGAAATATTACAAGAATTTGTGTTCCCCACACATTCGTTAATTTTAAATATTCCCCTCAATTTTCAAACTGCAATAACTGCCTGAATGCAATGAAGTCGGCTGCAGATTGAGTCATTGCGTCAATTATTATTGCTTTTCGAGTGTGTTTGTGTCGTCTTGACATGGGAGAAACGTGAAATATCTCGATATTTTGTGCAATTTTACACCACTGACTCTCCTGAGGTGCGTATTCATCAGCTTGTCTCATAGCACAGCCCCCAAAGTGGAGGTATTAGGGAATGTCGTGTGGGAAAAGCGCTAGATTGCAGGGGGAAAAGTGGGTGTTTGTGATCCACCCACCATATTTGATTGCGCGCAGAAAGAGGGAAAAAGTGGAAAAAACCTGATTGCTCGGGATTACTGGGCTATTGTTATCTGACTATGGGTCTCCAGGTACTGTTAGCCGAGGGCTTGTCTGGTTGTCACGGCTCGAGAGTGTTCAGGGAAGCCAGTTTGAGGAGAGTCTGTGGGGTGGAAAGTCGAGTTTTGGGTATTGCGAAGAGTCTCTAGAGCTTCCGGAAGTGAGATTCTCATATCTTTCCTCCTGTTCTTGCGCCTTTGCAGAGACGTCGGAGCGATTGCGAGGGAGAACCAGAGCGCCAGAGTGAAAAGAGCCGCTGCCGAAACACAAGGAGGCCAGCATGAAGTACCCTGGACACCCATCCCAAGTGTTCTGCGAGCAGGTGGGCACCGTGACGACACTGTTCGAGCAGTGGAACGAGTGCGAACGCACCGTGGTGCTGTACGCCCTGCTGAAGCGCGTCCCCTTTGCCAATCTCAAGTTCCTGCAGCTGTCTATTGAGTACAACATCGCGCAGAACTATAATTCCCAGTCACGACTGCAAATCCTCGAGAGCAACTCGAACAACGGCGTATTCCTGGCGAAGCTGCTCAACGCCTACAAGGGCAACAAGGACCAGGACGCTGTGATCTACGAGGCGCTGGGTAAGCAGGAGCGCAAGGAGGACATCCTCACGGAACTGCTGCAATACTTGCCGCTGCTGAAGCCGGGCAATGATGATGCCAAGGCCGTGTACATGGCCATCGTGCCCATCGCTGTGGATGACTCAGTGAGGCAACTCGTCCCGGCTGAGCTGGTGCAGCAGATCCTCTCGTACTTGCTCATCCATCCGGCCGTCACGAGTGAGGACAGAAGGTACCTTATCGATAACACTATGCTCACTATCCCCCTTCTCATGAGGTAATTCACGCACACATCTTTTCTATCTTCTGTGTGCTTCTGGCAGGCTCTCGAGCTCTGCTGGAGGCGTTTTTGGTGATGGGTAACTGTAAAGTCTAGTTTGTTGTGAACGATTCATTGTCATTGTCTTGTGATTGTCCTGAGTTTGCAGCTTGTGCGAGAGAATGCAGAAACTAATACCGTCATTTCGTCTCTGCAGGTCTTTGGGGCATTGGCTGCACAATCTGGAGGAGTATATCAGCTCACCGTATGGTAGCAAATCGCAGTCCAATTGTCTACTGGACACTGGGACACCGAATTCGGGCAGTGCGACGCTGTGGCAGAGTCCGGCCGCCACCAAAACGGACTGCGGGGCTGCAAAGTGGGGTGGCGTCTTCTGTGACGACGGTGCGGCGCCTATCAAGGATTTCCGCAAGACAATCGGGAAGAATGTGGAGTTCAAGGCGACAGGCGGTGGGCCGCTGTATGAGACACCGTCGGATGATCAGGATGTGTCCTTCTCGAAGAACGGCACCGAGATTCTCGATTTTGACGATGAGAACAAGTCCAACACGAAGATCGCATTCGAATCATTGACATTGAGGGATTTGCTGGCGGTGCCCAGTTTCTTGGATGGCGCCGCTGCTGTGCTGAAGACAAGGCGCAGCAACAGCTTGACTGCTGGTCAGGTGGCGCCCAGCTCAGCATCGGCGGAGAATCTTGCCCAAATGGCACAGAAGCCGCGCAGCTTCAGTTTGACGACTGTGGAGAGCACACATGGTGTGCAAGCGCTGACGGCTGGTGGATCGGAGACGCGCCTGGATGACTTTAGGCCCAGTCTGACGAAGGGGCCGAACCACCAAGTGGGCATGAGTGGCATCGGGCAGTGGCTGAAGAGTCTGCGACTGCACAAGTACGTGTGGCTGTTCACCAACATCACGTACGAGCAAATGATGGACATCACGGAGGAACATTTGCAGAATCTGGGAGTGACTAAAGGTGCTCGTCACAAGCTCGTGCTGTGCATACAGAAGCTTAAAGAGCGCCACAGCCACTTGATGGAGATTGAAAAGGGTCTGCTCACGGATCAGGCCTTCCTGACGCCAGCTCTCGAGGAACTGGCCAATGTTGTCCTGACACCCATGCGTCCGGCAAATCACTATGCCAAGGAAGACGTGGCGGCGCAATTCTACAAGGTTCTAGAACTGAGTAAGAAACACTCCTTTCAATTCTCTGGTTCAGATTCCTGACTTTTGGCATTCTTTCAGTCGCTTCGTTGCTGACTAACAAGTCAGCTGCTGGGCAGGTGGATGAGGAAAGCATCGGAGCTTTCATGTGGGTTCTTGAGCGCGCACTGCACAATGAAGCCTTCGTGGCGCAGACGAATCAGCTGAAGGAGTTCAAGTATAAGATGTCCAAGATCAAGATGCAGTTCGGAGCGTCAGCTAATGCTGCCAAGGGACACTACAGCAAGACCGCGATGAGCGCCATGGGGAAAGCCAGGTGAGTTCAATACTCAATTCACTTCAATAATAATTAACAAAAGGATAGAGGGAAAAAGAATAAGCCATCGGACAGAAAATAGTAGTGCATTTCTAGTAGAGCAAATCTTATTTGCTATCAATTTCCCAGGTGGACTCCTGGCGTGAAGCCCCACAAGAGTGGGCAGGACAAGTGTGTTAGGAAGAATTCCACTGGCACACTTCCCGGTTATCCGATGGCTCTGCAGCAGCCGTCGTACAGCGATCTTCACCACTCGGCGCCGCAGCATCATCACCATCAGACGCCGAGTCACTATAATAAGTCCTCGTCCTATCCCAACTTCAGCAGCTCGGCAAAGCCACTCCATCAGGCCTTCCCGGCGCAGCCGCCGTACCACAGGCACTCGCTGAACAGTCTCATGGGCGCGAAGAGCTACGTGAACAAGGAGAATGCGCCGCGGACGCAGCAAACGTCCACGCAGCCGTCGTTCAGCAGCGTCTTGGGGCCGCAGAACGCGACAGATGCGAGGCCCAGGGAGGTGGGCAAGAGTGCCAAGAGCAGCATCGGCGAGATCAACAGTCGCCTGGAGTTTCTCTGCCTGCAGATGACGGAGCAGGCCATCAATTGAGCTACTGATTGTCCATGAATGTTCCTCAGTGTGTTGTCCCTGTGTGAAGGTGTAGTTTCACGATCGGCCGACTCTTCACCGCCCCCCTTTTGAATGTTGTTCACACCCTCACGAAAGACAAAGGCCCGGCGATGGCCCGAAAGTTGAATTTTCACCCTATATTATACTATTATCATATTTAGTTGACGACGAGAGTGTTGATAAGTGGAAAAGAAGCTGTGAAATCTTTTTGTTAGGTTCTTACAAAGAAGTTGTTTTGTTGCAATTGCGATAGTTTTGACGATTTATACCAAATAATGTGTGGAGAATCCATATGAAGGCATAAAAGAGAAGTGGTTAAATTCAATTTATTTTTTTTTCTGTATTAGACGTGCTTTGCTAGTCAATATGTAAAGTTAAGGATGACGAGGCGGGAATTAATGTATTTCAAATTTATGAAAACTTTTTGCAAACTTATGTGAATGGATAAAACTTATAAATGATAACAAAAAAATGTGACATTCCAACTGGGTATTAGAGAAAATAGCAAAATTATTTCTTCCATCCCGCAGCCCAGAAAAAGAGTTCTATGAAATAGAGAGGATAAAAGAAAAATTAAATGCTATTCACAAAGTTATATCAATGTTGGCGTGTGGAGAAGAAAACAATCCGACAAATCCGTACTAAAAATGCGAAATAAATCTATTTTCGTGGCGAAGATTTATGAATGTGAATAGATGATAAAGGAAGTGATAAAGAGTAGTTAGCCAAAATGTGTAAGAGAGATTCGATTCACAAATAAAATCAATTAACTGACGATGCGTGCAGACGTTCAATTTGCTACTGGCCATCGCATCTGGTGTGAGATTTCGCAGCATCGCGCGCGATGCAATTTGAGGGCATTTCGCTTTGATTGATCTATTGATGGCGCGATCAGGCGAGGATCACGCGAATTTAGGGCTGCATCTAGCGTGAAAATTGCCATAATTGATGCCACAAGATTGCTGGTATTCTTCATCACCGAAGGTGAGCTAGAAAGGATGCTTGTAATCAGAGGAACGTAATAAAGTGCGAATTTCATGTGGAAACGGCAATTTTGAGATTATTACAATATTTTAGGGGAAAATATTGAGAATTAATGAACTGAAACCTGTGGCGTCAGCATTGGAGGGCGAGCAAGATGTCCAATAAATCTCTAATAAGTCTCCAATAAGTCTCTAGAAGAAAGATTTCCCTTTTTTGTTTAGAAGAATTGAATCATAAAGCATCATAGTTTTCACTTCATACTCTTTTCATTTGCTGCAAATGATTTACTTTTGCTATTTAATAGTTATAGAATATTTTGGTACATTTCTTGTGAGGAGATTTTACAAAAAAAAAATCGCAATTATCTGAGAAATTGTTGCTGTTTCCACAGTTTTGCAATAACACAGGAATGGAAATAACGCAAGTTCTGTCTTTGTGAGTGAATTCTTGAGTCGTTTCGCTAATTTTCTACTTAGTAAATGCATTTGTCTTTCTTTCTCGGGAAAGGTTTCCGATTACCAGGAGTTTGGCGCTCCTAGCACTGATGCTTGCAAGTTTCTTTATCTGAACTTCAGGAACGCCATCAAATTTGACTCTAAAAATTTACTATCAAAATTACTCTTCACTAGACTGTTTCTGTGCCCGAGAAGATAAAGATGAAGATGGTCAATGGAGAATAGTTGACGGAGACCATCGAGAATTTTTGCAACGAATGGTTCCAAGGCGGCAATTAGGAAAATTTAACAAACTTCCTGAAATTATCGATGAAATTTTCATGACTTGGAAATACTACAAAATAAACACACTGTACAAAATACTGTGAAGAACACAATAGATTGATTATTAAGGTAATTTTGAGACGTTCCACTGTAGAATATGAATTAATTTCACACCAGTTGTTCTGCAGAGTCGGTGTCCAAATTCTCGGCTTAAGATTAATTACACAGAAAAAAGGATTCTTCTACTTGATTTTTCTCTTTTTAATGATGACTTAGGCCGATTTGTTTAATTTGATTAAATATTATTATATAAACTAGGGAATTTCCGATATTGTACGCAAATTCCCTGTCATGCACTGCATAAAAATCAAACTCTGGGAAATTAATGGACAGTCAAGAGAAATTTAATTAATTTCATCAAACGTGCCCCGCAGAAAAGTGTGTTCTTGGCGCTCTTTGCCACACCAAGTCAAAAACGTCCCGAGAATATGAAGAATATAAATTTGCCGCGTTGATTTTGGCCTTCAACGACGTGCCGTGATACATTTTAATGACTTCTCCGGAGGATCGCGAGATTGATGTTGTGCGCTGTGAAGAAGTTAATTGACGCGCGTGGATTTCGGCTAGGCCTCGGCCAATCTAATCACAGAGGATCGAACGCAAGAAGTGCAACTTCTGCCGCGGCAGAGATCGCCAATTTCGCCTGGGTGAGTCTGGGAAAGTGATTGGGAGAATGTGTTTCGGTGCGATCTCTGGGGCGCGATAAAAGGCAAACAAATAAATTGTGGCTGCTGAGGATTTGTGTTTGGCCAGAGCATAATTGTACGGCCCCGCGGGCCGTACATATTGGGAACACGCAAACTGCTAAATGGGCAACACTTGGGTGTGCAAATTTCACAGGTACACTCTGTCATTTTCGCATTTAGAGGCACCCCGACCGAAAATCAAACAAGCACCATCGACTAAATAAATATAATCAGGAGCCGCGACTTGGCACTGCCAGACGCGCCGATCCTTTCGCACCCCGAGTATCGAGACTGCCAATTAGGCTCGATCGCGATCTTTCGCCTATTTTGCCACTTCCTCTCGCACTTTAATTCATATTCCGTCAGAAATTGCTGCACACTCTGAGTGTGCATAAAAAACTGCGAAAACATCACAATTTCTGACACTCGACAGCCACCGCGACAAGCATTGGGCATTAAGGCGCGATCGTGAGATGTTTTATTAGGGCGAAAAGGGAGGAATTCTGCCACTGCAAAATGCTCTTGCAACGGCACTAATTAGCAGTGTTAATGAGCTAAAGGGATTTCACATCATCTTTTATGATCGAGAGGTTGCAAAAATTTGACGATCGCGCGATCATCATTGAGTGGGATTTCATGTAGGGATTTTTTTCAGGGGCAAAATCATATAATTAGAAGGTAAATTTTTAAAGATCACTTGAGCGATCGTTAATGCACTTTGAGAGCAACTTGTGGGAAAAGTATGTGATCACGCGAGATCATATGATCGGCAGGTGATCTCTATTGAAATCTCTGTAACACTGTCCTCTGTCCTCTCGAGTGAGATTGTCTGATTTCTATCTCGGAATCGATTGAGCAGTAATTCTGCCACTCACTTGCGATCTAACGCACACCTATCCAGCCTCCCTTCGCTGGATCCTCGCCTCTGTAATTATGCAAATGGCCTTCTGCCCCGCATTGCCAGCTAATTTGAAAACTAAACACGGCCCGAGATGCTCCTGGGCGCGTCAACTCTGTTTGCACACTCTGGTCGTGTTGAAGCTGAGGGACTCTTCTTAATAACAATAAATCGAGTGCGAGGCTGGGCGCTAACGAATTCCAGCGCTGCGCATCTCAATTTTAATTAATTTCACTCCATCGTCTCGCGGATGTGGCAAAAAGGAGCCAAAGGCGTTCGTGTTATTCGACATTTGTTATTTACACTTCATAAAAATTCACAGGGAGTGTTTGCTCGGCTCTCTCTTGACGAAATCACTCACGAGACCGGCCAAAAACATCCTCCAAGGCGATGAAGCGTCAGCGAGATCTTTTTTTTAATTATATCTGCCCCAAAAGTCCTCACACGAACGAAAATATTTATTTGCTTCAGGAGGATTTCAGTGGTAATAATTGGGACTGTTTATTTGGCCTCGTCAGTGAACAAATTGCCCAGATGATCACCTCTAAAATTGTTCGTCGCAATGGCACAAAACTTTATAGCTCAGAGTTTGGTTGTTAATTGAATGAGCAACTTAATTAGATCACCACAAAAGAGTCTTTAAGTGAGGGTAAAATAAAGATCAGAGCAGCGCAAATATTTGCGTTTATGGTCGAAAATGCCCGCTGGACACTTACAGCGTCAATTTAGCAGAGATAACAAGAGTAATAATTGAAATAAAAGTTCCAATTATATCAGGAAAGCTCTTAAAGTAAGAGATCAAGATTACCGATCATTTGATAATCTCCATTTGCATATCATGCTGAAAAACCCGCGAAAATCACTTGTTGCCTCGCGTGAGATGCGTGATGGTCAAGTGAGCGCGACTGTGATCCTCACCTCGCCAGAATCGGTGCCCCTTCATCACTGTCAGGCTAGCAAAAGGGAGCATCAAGAGTAAAAAGTGGCAAAATTGCACCTCATGCAAGCTGTAATATTTTTCATGCGAAAGCCGCCACAAAGAGGCGTTCTGTGAAAATATTTGCCGAAGAAATTGGCCAAAGACAACCCTTTCGTGGCGACCGGTGAGCGTGGCAATTAATGGCTGGAGGGTGTGTTCTGTGTTCACCTTCCTCGTGTCGACGGTCGCCTGGCGTGGACATAATTTGCATTTTTTGATTATTCGCCCAGCCAAAATCACGCTGTCAGTCGCGCTTCTGGACCTCTTCTATACTTATCGCGAGGGGCGGCGAAAACGATGATTGAGTACCTCGAAATGCACCAAAAGATCCGCGCATTCAGATCATAGATCGCCCGGGTCACAGAAATGCAGACGTGAGTTCGATGAAAAAGGTGAAATCTCACGTAGAAATCTCGACGGTGATTTATCTTTGGCGTGCAAGACAACCATCATTCGCGTGCAGAGGAATTTTCGAACAGCAAAACATTGTTGTATAAAACATTAAATATATTCACATCAGTTTACACTGTTTGGGGTTCTGAGCTACATCTCTACTTACACTCTCTAAATGGCCCTGTAATGTACATTTTCGGTGATCAGCAGTCACTGCCTATCTTCTCGATTCGGATTCTTGCGAAATTGGCGGTAATTCCTGCAAAGACATTGCAGATGATTGCTTAATTAATCTTATCCACACCTATAATGCATTGACATCAGAATAAGAAACCCGCCAGGTCGAGAGCCCGTGTATTTGTGTTTTAATAGCTTTAATTAACAGTAAGTAAGAGTTTCTGTATTCATTTACTTAGAGTTCAGATTAAAATACGTGAGTTGTGATTGCTTGACGTAAAAAAACCATTTGTCATTTGACAATAAAAGCAGTAATATTTTAATATTTACTCAAAAGTAATCAAATTTCTTGTCATGGTTTAAAAAAAATCGTTGTAGTTCTTAAAGCGTAATAAACCAGTGTTCAAGTTTCTACAGTGAAGTAAAGCAAAAAGAGAAGTGAATCAATTTTTTCGTTAAAGTTCTAGTCATTTGGATTTTTTGCTTTTTTTAGTTTTCAGCACTTTCTAAGATATTTTCCGTTCTCTAATTTTGAAAAAAAAATATTAACAAAGATTACTCACCTCTGTGCAATAGAGACTGTCGAGTTCATTCTTAATGACGATGACTTTTTCGCCCACGTGAACGCGAATGTGGTTGTTTAGCGTGCTGGACTGCCGAAATTGCTTCTTGCACACGGCACACTCGAAGGGCTTCTCGCCCGTGTGGATCTTGAGGTGGTTCGTGAGCGTCGACAGTTGCCGGAACTGCTTTTCGCAGTACGTGCAGGCGAAAGGCTTTTCGCCCGTGTGAATCTTTACGTGATTCGTGAGAGTGCTAGACTGGCGGAAGTTCTTCTGGCACACCTGACACTTGAACGGCTTCTCGCCGGTGTGGATCTTCATGTGATTCATCAGTGTGGAGAGCTGCCGGAACTGCTTATCGCAGATCTGACAGTGGAAGGGCTTCTCGGCGCCCCCGTGAAGCTTAATCACGCGCGTGAGTGCTCGTGACATTGATCGTTTCATGGAATCCTCCAGCACTTCTTCTCGCGCCTCGCCGCCCGTCATTATTTTCTCCTCTTTGGCCTCTTTTTCCCCTTCCGCGAGGCCTGGAATGAGAGATACAGAGAATACACAGATAAAATGCTGGAATTGTTTTCTTTTGATCAGAAAAACATCTCTTACGTCACAAAGACGAGATGAGACAAACAACATCCCGGAAAAATATCTTAATACATTGCTTATTGGAGTTATTCTTGAAAAACTACTCTATTTCACTCTAAAAAGCTTATCTAATGTAAAATATAGGCGAGAAAACAGGGAAATTACCTCAAAATATCAATAAAAACAACTCCAACTGTTGCACTCAATATTGAACTTTTTTGCACTTTTCACGAGGTTTTCATCGTCCGACTTGATGTTTTCTTATGCGAAAAAGTTCTAAAGTATATCTAGATTGAGATTCAACGCGGATTTTCACGGAAAATCCTGAAATTACTGGTTATTTTGAGACTTTTCTCAAGCGTAAATATTGAGAGAAATGCAAAGTGTCAGAAAACATCTGACATTCCAATGACGGCTGGAAGTGCATGCGAAGACTGGAAAGGCAGGTAATATTTTACGCGCGTCTTTGGATTTTCTACATTCTTTACATCTATATAATTTTCTATACATAACATTATGCAAATCCTTGTTGAAATTGGTAGGTAATCAATAGATTTTGTAGTAAATTCATCAAAATTCATTTACTTTTGTATTCCATACACTTCATTGAGAGATCTTGAAGCAAAAGCGCCCACGCGCGATCCGAAATAGAGCGATAAAACATTGCATAAACATTTCCGCGGAAAAGTGCGTCATTTTCACGCAATCTCATGAGCACGGGAGACCATCTGTTACCCAAAATACTCCTCTGTCGTCACACTGTCCCATGGAGAAGTGTGTCAAGGTGCGGATCGACCACAAGTCGAGATTTCAGGACTGCAATTATCGGCTCCTCCGCAACTGTCGCGATGGGATCATGTCGTCTTGCCGGACAAATCTAGCAAAATTGGATCAAGGATCACGTGCGGCGAGAGGCCGGCGACATGAAAGATGCAGTGAGTGATCAAAAGAGTCGCATTGTCCACAAAAAACGCATGTGAATTGCTTGGGTGGTCGTTCAATCTCTCTCGAGAGCCCTTTCATCCCACCAGAACAATGGCCCGAGTATGGCTTTAGAAAGGCCCTCCGGTGATATCACAATTAATGCCGAAAAGACACTCACTCGAAAGTGCGCTCAAGAGGAAAAATTGCGTCTGCTTTGCCGCTCATTTTTCACCGCGGCAATTAAGACGGCGGCCAAAGAGGCAGATTGAGGCGAAGAATCATCTCGGGATTACTCTGGAAGTGACAATGTGATTAATTGATGGACGAGGCATTATCTCAAATCTCACACTTCGCGGTGATCAGCAGGAGAAGGGCATATTTAAGTCATTTGCCAAGGAAATTGCACTTTAAATTCATATAAATTAAATTCTCAGAAGCTTTTTGAGGGCTTCAAACTTGTTCAGATCTTAAGCGGAGCTTAAAACTTTATAAAATTGAATTGTGACGAAAATATTATACTAACTAAAGATTTCTCACAACTTATGCTGTAAACTTTTGCAAAATATTCTCTCAGAATATTGAAATCGTAATGAAGAGGAGAATTAGATAGCAGCTAACTTATCGCAAACTAATTTCATAGCATGAATTATTATGCACTTAATCGATAAAGACCGCTTAACATTAATTCTTTAGCTGATGTAAGAATGCTTACAAGACTATTAAAAAATATAAGATAGCTCTAGAAAATGCAATTGATAGTGGAAATTTGTCGCTTAATTGTTATGAGGCAATTAAGTCTCTGCCGCGATAGTAATTCAGGAGTGAATATCTGAGAAATGCTGGCAGATTCTCGCGGAATGCATAACTCTTATCGCTCTTAATTGGTCCGCGCAGAGTGGTTTCTGTGGGAACGGCTGTCCTCTGGCGGCCACAAGGATGCCCAAAATCCAGTGACTGCGCGCTTCGGGAACAATGGAAGACGATTCAATTTTCTTCTGAGGAGTCTTTTTGCCGTGGCTCGCGAGAGATGAATAAACCAATTAAGACGGCAGCATCACGCTGGGATAATCGTCTGCAAGACGCTCTTGTAGGCTGATGAGCGAGTGAGATTTCGCTGTCGGCCAGTTCAATAATCTACACATCACGCGTGACGACTCAGCATTACCTGCAATCACGCCTTCAAACTCGCGCGATCGCTGAGGTTGTCGATTGCATGAAAAGAACCGCTCTCGGTGTGAAATATCCAGCAGAGACTGAAGTGAACTTTTGAAAATTTCCGATAATTTCACTTAACTTTGCGTCTTCTCGCGTGGAAAGCGATCCTCAATGGAGCACAATAGGTGAGACGCTATCGTTGAAGATCATCTCCCGATACTTTGGCAGAGGGGAAAACTTAATGATCGCTCGGCTCCCAGCTTTCAAGGTGCATCTCATTCTTCATTTTCACTGCTCATCTCACCTCAGAGGCACTCTGCAACGTCTGCAACCCTTTATCTGGCCATCGAAGCGACTGTAAATCTCCTGGGAGTCGTCTCAAATTCCTGGAGGTCAATTCTGGCCGAGTCTCATAAAGTCATTGAGGCTTTCTGGTCTTACCCTCATCATGGGATGGTTTGCCATCATCAATGCCAACTGTTGAGGTCTTCCGCAGAATTTTCGCCCAAGAAGGACTCTCTCAGGCATTATTTTATGAGGGACTTTTTCCTCCTAATACGATCATAAAGACGGAGTGCAGAAGTACAATTCATCCTAGGTAAGAGATGTTTGCCTCATCTCAATTAGCTGCCCAATAGATCAACTTCAAATTACATCCACTGGACATCCTCACTCGTGCCCCGAAGACGCATTCACTGGCCAAGATTGATGAGGCTTTTCGGGAGGGAATCTTGAGCGATTTGTCTTCAGTAGCCGACAAGTTCAATTAACTCACGAAGGACTCGCGCGCGCGTTTTGGGGCCAATTGAGAAATCTTGCGCTGACCTCGTGGGCTGCAGAATTTATCGACAAACACCGCGAGACGCCTCCAGAGACACCCGAGATGATGAAGAAGTCCGTTGCTGCCGCCCAACAAAGCCCCCCAATTTAATGGGCACAATGAACATGATTCAGCCGCAATTTGAGGCATTTTCCGCATTATTGAGCCTTTCTTAAACCAAAGAAAAGCGCAGTGTTTAAGTAATTGGGCCACAAGACGCACCGTGGTGATCACAAGTTGCAAGGAAGCTGGAAACAATGGTCACGAGGAGTAAATTTGAGGTTCAAGAGCGAAGATTTGAAAGAAGTGTAGTAACTAAAAGGGGTATTCATAAGAGAACATCAGAGCAATTTTATTGGTATTTAAAATATGATCATTTTTCTTTTACATTGAGGTTCATCAAATGTCTCAGATGGAGAAAAATTGCATTAAAATTGACAAATTGGATAAGATTATAAACAAAGACATGATTAAAGCATCTCTGGTCTCTGGGTATAATAAAACTTGTCCTTATTCGTCTGAGGCATTCGGACTAGCACAGATCGAAAGTCCAATGACTGGGGTTTGGAGACTTAAACCAGCAGGACACTCTATACCGGAAATAAAAGAATTATTTAAAAAAAATTAAACGGTATATACATTTTAATTTTTCATATTTAAAATTGTGTTTTCTATCGACTTTCCATTTGAGTCAAAACTTTGTTTGGAATGAAAATGCATATAGCATTTTCTTTATTCATTTGCACTAGAAGAAAACCGCCTAGTTTCTAAGTCTCGTGTTTTTCGTCAATTCTTATTTATATCTATTTAGTCACCTGAAGATTGATTGGGAAGAGTAACGCATCCTAATGGTAGGACAAATGTTTGGCCCTCGGTACATGAAACTAAGCGAATATAATTGTTATATTTGATTAGGTATATGAAATTCACCTGTATATGTATGTGGTTTACCTGGACAACCAAAACCTGGAAATGGCAATTGTCCATTAGGACATAGTTCGACACATCCCCCGACGCTAAAGCCTTGGCCCTCGGGACATGAAACTGCAATCAAATCATATTTTTGAGTAACTTATAATATTTACTTGAATTTGGTTTACCTTGACCAACAGATAAGTCAAAACTGAATGATTAAAAGTATAAGTTAAGATATCGTGAAAATATGCTACATATTTCAACGTGACGAAGAGTTAAACAAAACACGATTTAATGGAATATGACTACTGTGCCATAAATTTCACAAACTCTATAAACTTTACTCGAAATTTATTGCTCTTCTACTTACTTTCTTGCGAAAAATTTAATAAAAGATAACAAGAACAAGAGTATGTAAAAAATAGTAATAATCCTTGTAGACATTACCATATTTCAAAGTAAATAATGAACTTCAGATTAAATACTATTTTTTTTTAGTGGATATTGTACTTACTTCCAATTCCTAATGGATTACTTGGATTAACACATCCGAATGGTGTTTGAATTTGCCCGTCAGGGCATTGTGCCAAACCTGCATGTTATTAAAATTGTGAAAAAACCTTTCTTTTTCAATAATATATCTTTAAAACTAATCACCATATTTTATGAACAATGAGATCAGAAAGAAAATCCACACGTAAAAACTTTTTCCAGAAAATTGATACATATTCACTTTTTTTCTTTATAGGCACTTTCCTGCGGAAACTTGAACAATGTTTGATTCGCTTGAAAAACTACCAACGATATTTATTCCTCATAACTCGTGACAGAACTTCAATGTAGGTATTTAAGGAAAGTTTTAGTGATGTTATCGTCAATTGACAACACTAATACTTGTTTAACACTTACCAAATAATCGTGATTTTGATTTATTGAAATGAAATATTTAAATTTTATGTTTTATGTATTGCAATATATATTTTTACTATTTACACAAAAAACGTTTAAAGAATTTTTTTCTAGACTATAGTTCGTGAATTTGAAAAAAGTACTTGTCACGATATTTTGTTATGTGTAGTAAATTAAATGAAAAAATTTTAGAAGATAATGAAAAATAAGTAGTTTAGAAGAGGAGCGAGATAATTTCAAACAGAAATTTCTCGTTAGTTTCCAGGAGATGCATATGAAAATTCTTATGATTACCCCCTTGTTCATTTCTTGAGGAGATGTAAAAGTGCATTCATGAGATACTCCAGCGATCGCGCACTTGTTGCTCCCTTCTTCTCGGCATTTGCTTGGCATTTTTATGATTTCTCAGCTCTGTTCGAGAAATTTTGAGGCAATTGACCATATTTTGCTTTTCTTTTGTGCGAAAAATGCCATATCTCAGCAGTTGCGGGGCAAACAATGTCGACGACGGAGAAACGCTGCAATTTGATGCAACTTCTGCGGAGCTGAGGTCACAGTTTGGCTGCCTTTTAAGGCTCTCCGATCAGGTGTGTGCCATTCGCGCGCGCGGACCAACAAGCCATTATTTGTATAAAAATTCTCCTTCGCCAGATTTAATTGTCGATGCAATAACAATAAAGAACGATGGCTTTGGCGGCGACTTCGCGGTGGATCCAATTTGGCGGGCATTCGCTGAATTCCATCACCCTCAACTCTCGGCCATTCACTGTTGCAATTTTGCGCTCACGACACGGCCGAAATTCCGCGATATCGCAGGCGATCTTGCGGGAGACAAAGGCCCATTTTATGCCCTCACCGCAATTACCCAGCATTTTTCTCCGGCATTTCACCGAGAGTGCAATTTTCGGCATGAGAGATCCTCCTCTGCTGCGCCCGCGATCGCGATCCTCCTGCGCTCTGTGATTAATGGAAAAGGCATGAGATAAATGCGTGAGTCATATCGGCCACGAGATGATTGCCTCGCTCACAACATTTCGCGGTATAATCGACAGAAGCCCTTTTACTCTGCAGATGCTCATGAGAATAAATGCGAAATTGACTCCTCGGGCCCCAAGATCAAAATTGAAGCCTCTCGACTCCTATGAATGCAGAAATTCGTCCCAGCGAACGAGGAACAAAGTAAGGGCGTTCAATGGCATCTGTTGAAGATTGCTATTGTCATGCTTCAATTGTAATACACTTTAGTGTAAGTCACTTACCAGACTCACAAACACAAAAGCATTCAAAATAAAGACTCTTTTGCTGACTTTTTAGCAAATTAGGATGACAAATGAAGTTCAGAAACGATTCGAAACTCCACCAAAATATCTTTATTTTTCTTTAATATCCATATGACGTGATTTAGGCTCAATTTTTTTTCTTAATCAAGTCTTTTCTACAAGTGCAACACAACATTGAAGCAAAAGAATTATTTTGCTTTGTCTAATATAATTTTTCAAGAAGAAAATCATCAAAAAATCTGCTGGCGAAGTGCAAGATCTTGACCTCATTTTTCTGTTCTCTCAATCACAGCTCTCGTGAACTCGTGGTTTATCTCACCTCTTCTTAGACGATCTGAATTTCTCTCCCATTAGCGAAATTAAGTGAAAATCGCCTCTTGAGAAGTCCACACTGCGCCGCACTTCCTTAAGACAGCAATTTAACACACAAAGCTCCCAAAAATTGCAAATTACCCTTTTCTCTGATTACCGCAGAAAAAAACCGCCTCGTGTGCACAAGCGAGAGTGTGAGAAAGAAAAGGCGAGTGTGTATTCTCAATATCATTTCATTTATTAGTCATAACATTCAACATAATTTGCATTTCCCTCGATACAATTTGTCCAACATCAATTACACTTTTATTGTATTATTACCATGAATAAAAATAATGCTCTTGCGCCTTTTTTTTCGGAGATAAAAAAGGTGTATTTTTTTCTTCACTACTTCTTTTAATATAAAATTGTATCCATGTTACTTACTTAGACAATGGGGATGCTGTGATACTGATTTGCCTCTCTGTCAATGCATTTTGGGTCGCGCGCGCGGGGATTAATTGAGAAATAATGTGGGTAAAATGTTGATATTACCTTCTGTGAAAAAGACGGGGTTAAAGAGACAGACTATGCATCCATTAATTTTGGTTAATTACAAGTTAGATGATTAGAAGTGTGCGCTGTCCGGCGGGCGTGGCGAGGCGCGCCTTAGAGAAGGACGCACTTCCGCTTGGACTTGACCTGGAGGACTGGACAGAGGACGGCGCGGATGGCCTCGTCGAAGACGGTCTTGAGGCCCTTCTGGGTGAGGGCGGAGCACTCCAAGTACTTCACCGAGCCGATCTCCTTCGCCATGGCCAGGCCCTGCGGATAAGTGATGGGCGCCAGCTTCTTGTCGCGCAGCTTCTCCACCGTCTGGCGGTCGTCGCGAAGGTCCAGCTTCGTGCCCACGAGGATGATGGGAGTGCTGGGGCAGTGGTGACGCACCTCCGGGAACCACTTGGCGCGCACGTTCTCGAACGAGGCCGGGTTCACGAGGCTGAAGCAGATGAGGAAGACGTCCGTCTGTGGGTAGGACAGCGGCCGGAGGCGGTCGTAGTCCTCTTGTCCGGCTGTGTCCCACAGGCCCAGATTGATGGGCTTCCCGTCCACCATCACGTTGGCGGAGTAGTTGTCGAACACGGTGGGGATGTACTCGCCCGGGAAGGCGTTCGTGGTGTAGCTGATGAGGAGGCAGGTCTTACCCACGGCTCCGTCGCCCACGACCACACACTTGATAGCCTGCATCTCTGTCCTGTACCCTGACTGTCCCTCGCACGCACGCAATCACTTCACTGTCTCGCTGTGGGATTCCGCCCTCTCAGTGCTCAGAAAACGCGCCCCAAAGATGATTTGTCTGCCTGAAAAACTAACCTCTCGCCCTGACAGCTCGGATTTTCACTCAACAACTCCCTGACAGCTCGATTGGCCCGAAGTCCACACGAACCGCCACCCGAGCGTCATCAGCGACCCAAATCTCCCGTAAAATCTCCCAGCAATTAACGACAAAACACCCCCAAGACCCCCCGAGCCCCCATTCGACCACATCTTATCTGATAACGTCCCGATAAGGGCGCTAATCGAAGGCTGATTCATGGCGGGAGTGCTCGAAAAACTTCGGGCCGCGGGAGATTCTTTGTCATGGCGAGCCAGGGAAGGCGAACCGACACAGCGCGGGCCGGTCTCGGCGGATGTGGGAGATGCTGATTGAATTGCATGAATTGCTCAAGAGGGGAAATTCAAGTGCAGCCGCAAGATCAAGATGAATTGGAATTACTTTGGCTTTCACGTGGCAAATGGTTTTCATTCTATCGTTCTGCCCATTCTGCACAGCAACTGAAAGGCGAGCAATTTGTTCTGCAGTGTTGGAAAACAACAGATGATTTTTTACTCGCGATTGCAACAGAACAGAAATTCACGCAGAATAAAAAAGTACCAAAATAAATATGAAAATATTTATTTATGTTTTCACGAACTGCTCGCAATTTCATATATGTGTAAAATGCGTAAAATGATAAAGAGATGAAGAATCACGAGAAACACCTCTAATTAATTAAATGCTGTAACTGGAGTATTTCTTACAGAAAATTGTGATGAATATTTTTTGTTAGCGATTTCTTCACAAGCCATGAGCCTCAATTAAAATTAAGATATCAAATATTTGCTTAGAAGAGAAACTTTGACTTCCAACCCTCGAGAAGCGCGCATATCTCGCAATCACAATTTAAACTGAAAGGCGCACAAAGAGACCTCTCGATCACGATCACTCTCGCCGCGCCATCAATCTTGGATTAGTTCCTCCCACAGGCCGATCGGGAGACGGCCCGGCGTCCCTCCCACGACTTCTTGCCAGGAGATCCGGCGTGATTTATGCCCCCGGACTCCGGCCAGAAGGCCCGTTCCCGGCCGCGTGGAGAGCCAAGTGAGACGGAATTAAGTAAAGTTGATTTATTGGAAATTAGTTGCGGCCAATTGGCGATGGTGGGCTGAAGAAAGGTGAGAAGTTCCGAGAAGAACCACAAGAAGTGTCTTCGTGAATTGCTCAGTGGTTGTTTTCTGGTCGCATTCTTGTCTCACCTCCCTGAGCATGTTGTGCCTTTTTACTGCCCTCGACTTCTCGGTAAATTGCTGCAATTCCTCAATGGATAGTTTTTCTGTGGTGAAAATTCTATTAGACTTACTTGGAAGTTAGTTGGTCAGGTGAATCAGGGAGTGATTCAGGGCCTTCTCGCATTTTCCTTCGATCAATCATTCTGAGTCACTCGTTCTGCGATGAAATTTCGCCTTATTTCCAGCATTGTCATAGCCGCAGTTCGTGTGATTGCAGGCGAAGTGTCTTGTCCTTAAACTTCGCGGCGTGCCTCGCGATTCGCGGCCTCTTATCTCACAGCAAATTACACATCTTTAATTTTGCTGCTAATGCGAGGGACAGCGAAGCTGTGCGTGTCAAGATTTCTTTTTAATGAAGGCCCCAGCATAGATCGCTGGCGATCGATTCGGGCCGCGTAATTGAATCAAGCCCTGAGTCCCGGGCATTCCCATGGTCTCGGCGAGAGCTGAGGGCGGGCCAGAGACGTTATATTGAAATAAAAGTGCGCGTAAAGACGGTACATTTCGTCCGAGTCATGTCGTGACTGGTGCCGGATCGAGAACAGATTGAAGCGAGTGCCTTGAATGCGTCGTGACCAGTTTTTGGACTCCTCTCAAGATGTGTTTTGTAATGCCACAATGCTCTGCAAACATAAACCTTCATGAGGCATGCCTTTTTGCTCCTCTCTCGCCATCTCCCAGCTTCGCTGCACCGCGAGAAGTGCGCTCAAATTCGATCCCTCGGCGGACATCATCTTCACGCACTAGCACAGCCCCAAAATTGCCAATATTCACATGATCACAGCTCATTTGCATGCTCCTCGCTCTCATCTCATGAGCTCTTAATTAAGATTAATGGGTTAATGCATTCGGCCGCACCCGCCATCGAATCCAATCAATTTGAAGATGGGTCTTCTTTAGGGCAGGAGCAGCATTCTTTTTTGTCTCTCCGCGTTCTAAGAAGACCCAAGACCTCTTAAAGATTAAGATATTTTATATATTTAAGGATAAGTCTATCTACTCAGCTAATGCAAAATCCACACAGAATTTAGTTATGCTAATCAATCAAGTTGTGGTAAGAATTTATTGTAAACAGTGTTTGAAATATCTCATCAATTCACTCTTAATGAACTTTTTTAACTCAATACACTTCATGTTTTTTAGTTCAATAAATGCATACATGTTAATGAAAGAAGTACAAAATATAATAGACCTTTTTGAAGAATTGTCTCAAATTTTAAGAATTCTCTGACACAAAATTAAGTCAGGAATAAATTAAAAGTTTGTGACTTTGCTGGGCTTGAAACGAGTGACTAGTACTGACTCTTCATCTTCATCTTGCAAAATCAGATTCTCCAGTTTTATGGGATTGAACAAATGCCAGTAATCTTTTACTAAGTCCTTTCCAACGTCTGTTCGGCATCCCAGGTTGTTCACAATGCATGCTGGTTGTAAACCTCTCGTCGTATTAAAGTTATCTATTATTAGATGAATACGATTACTTCCAGCCCATTTACGAATCAAATTGACACATTCGCACTGAAGAGGGTTGTTCTGGATGTACAGGATATACAAATTGTTCAGGGTCTGTAAGAAAGAGTATGCACGTTCATTACTTCATATCTTACAATAAACGTTAAGAAAACTCACGCTATTACTCTCAATGAGTGCTCCTGTTGTTTCTTGCCATCCTGGTATTCGGAAAAATGGCATATTATTGCCGTCAATGTGCAGAGAATGCAAACTGTTGGCATCGAAGATATTTGCAGGGAGTTGAAAGATCAAATTGTTCGAAAGATAGAGAATTTTCAGCTTCTCCATTCGATCAAAAGCTCCTTCAGCAACAATTCGAATATCATTGTAGCTTAAAAACAAATCTGTCACATTGGTTAATCGGAAAAAGTCATTCTTGCCGATTTTTCTGATCTTATTGTAGACAAGATTCACTGATGTCAATTTGAAATCACGCTGAGCATTGAATATGTTAGCAGTGGTTAAATAGTTATGAAAAAGATCCAATTGGAGTATATTTTTAAGAGAATTTGCCAGGAAAAACGGCTCAATCAAGTGAAAACTGCAAATCTTGCAGAAGAACAATTCAACGTTGTTCAGATGACGTCGACTTTCCAGGTAAAGCAACTTGTTTGAGTCAAGAGTCAATCGAATTGGAAGGGTGGTTGGAAGAAGTACTTTATCCATAGTTTTGATGCTATTGCGACTCAGATCCAACGACAGAGACACATTCAATTTTTGTAGATCAACAGAGTGAATAAAATTGTTATTGAGATACAGAGTTTTCAGACTAATCAAGCTCAAAAACATCTCAGATGAAATCATAGTCAGTTGATTGTCTTTGATACTAATGGCTTTGAGTCTCGGTAACAAGATGCGCGATCCTTCGAATGATTTGATCCTATTTCCGTCCAGGGACAAATACTCGAGTGTTTCACTTTCTAAATCGATCTCAGAAATATGATTGTTGTCCGCGTTTACAGAGTAAATTTCAGGAAAACCGTCTGATGTGATGATCACTGACTTTAATTTGTTGTGCGACACTTCCAAATTTTCCAGTTCAGGTAATACAACATCACTGCTTTCCATCCTCGTAATGTAGTTCCAACTCAAATCCAAAGTGTTAATTTTCATCTCGTCAGAAGTTCGAAAGCTCTTCAAATCGATGAATGTTAAGTGATTCAAGCGAAGATCAACTTTTCTTAAGAAATTCATTCCACTAAAGCATTCGCGATCAATTAATAGAACACGAGCGTGATTGAAAACCACTGATTTCACAGATGTAAATTTCTCAAACATAGCTGAATCACACACAAACATATCCAAGGCTTTATTTGTCGCAGAATCTTCTCCTATTACACGAATGTGTTCTTGCACTTCAGGATTTGAGGATTTTAGAAGTTCATCGAAGGATGAATAAGAATTAAATTCGGCCGTATATTGTCCCTTCAGTGGCACAATAAAGAGGAAAACACCACAGAACACACTGAATAACATTCTACAAAAGGTCATGATGAAGTGCAGTCAATGCGAACAACAAGCATATGCAACTGAATAACGACTGAAGCAAAATTATCTCGCGTATCAATTAAGTAAGATTTCATCGAGGATTTTACAAATACATTGTACAAATTTCTAAGTAGTGGAGAAATGCAATGGTTTATTTGCAATACCACAATTGAGCTTAAACTCTCCCAATTCTTTACAAAGAGTCCAAATTGAGAAAGTAAGCAAATAAATTCCTAATACAAGGTATCAAGTATTAATTTTCCATCATTAAACAGATGCCAGTTGTCTTTAACGTAGTTCAGTCCAACATCAGCTCTGCATCCTTCGTTGTTCACAATGCAGGCAGGCTTCAAGCCCGACCTCACCAATGAGTTGTCTATCGTCAGCTCAATATTATTCTTTGCAGTCCATTTTCTAATCAAATCCACGCATTGGCATTGAAGAGGATTGTTGTTTATTTGAAGCTTTTTCAGTTTATTCACACTCTGTAAACATGAAAGTTATAGAATACTGTGATAACACGAAAATATTGATAAAAGAACTCACGCTCTCGCGGAAAAAGATTTTTTCAGTGTTTTCTTGCCACCCAGGAATTGGAAAGTACGGCATAATGTTGCCATTGAGATTCAATTCCCTTAAATTAATTGGTTCAAAGAGATTTGCAGGCAGCTGAAATATCATATTATTTGCTAGCTCAAGAATGCTCAGCTTTGTTGTTTCATCGAAAGCTCCTTCCTCGATTGTATTGATGTCATTGCTTCTCAAATCCAACATTTCCATATAGGTTAATCGTGAAAAATCACCACTTCCAATACGACTGATTTTATTATCTTGTAAGTATACTTCTGAGAGATCTTCGAAGTCTCTCTCTGCCATAAAAATAAATGCAGTAGTAAGGTAGTTATAGTTTAACTTTATTTTTTCTAAATTTGGAAAAGCATTTGCTAAGAAGAATGGTAACATATAGTGAATATTACAATGCGTACAACGAAACATATTGATATCAAATGGCCTTGGATTATCTGAATTCCGCGCATAGCCCAACATCCAAAAGTTGTTAAAACTTAAGTCTAGCATATCAATTTTTGAGAGAGACTTTATATCATACAATGATACAATTCCAGTCCCGGCTAGCTCTAAGTATTCCATCGTATTAAAGTGCATAAAGTGAACACTCTGCACAGGATTTCTAGACAAAATAGCTTGTTTCAAGCTCCGCATACTCGCAAACATATCCGGTGTCACTCTGCTCAGTTGATTATTCATAAGATCAACGTATTGCAAGTCTGGTAGAAAAAGGCCTTGCAATGTCTTTAACCTATTGCCAGTTAAATTCAACGCTGTCAGGGTTTGACTTTCAATCATGAGGGAGGAAATGTGATTGTATGCCAAATTGAGGTGCGTTATTGCTGGCATATTTTGTGATGTGAAATGCACTGTCGTTAGTCTATTACGAACTGCACTTAATGTTTTCAGTCCAGGCAAAACGACACTACCAAACTCGATATTTGTTATATAATTAAAACCTAGGTTCACATAAGTGATTGACATATCATAAGAGGTTCGAAACACACTCATTCGAATATTCGTTAGCGAAGTTCCGAAAAGCACAACATTTTTTAAGTTGTCCAATCCTTCGAAACAATCTTTACCGATGCTGAGCAGTTTTACATGCATCAATCCTAATGTTTCCACTGATGTAAATTTCTCCAAAAAGTTTTCACAATCAAATCCCTGATGAAGAGTATGATTTGAAGTTCCAGGTAATTCTCTTCCATAGGTTCCAATCACAAGAATATCTCTCAAGCTTCCGGGATTTGGAGACTTCAACAAATCTTCAATTGATTCGAATTCTTCTCCCTTTGATGGCACGATAAACACGACAAAACTGCACAATAATACATAATTAGCGAACAACATTTTAGAATACAATTTAAATGTGCTTCCATCGAGTGTTTCAAGCAGAATGCCAATTGCAAAGTGATCAGGCTGAACTTAACCTCTGAAACAAAAAATCCGGTACATAGATAAGATCTTGTTGCTATTTTCCTGTACAATTATCAGTATAAACACATAAAAACTTATGCTGCAAATACAGTGAAAAATAATTGTGGTATTCGCGAAAGTGCGCATAGACCATAATCGCTGTGAGCTAATCAAATTTGTGGTTTCTTATATTTTGGGACATAGATAATCTTCAATCAAATCCGGTAGTACATTGAAGATGATTAACGCGCTAAAAAACTATGCAACATTGTAAAAAAATAATTGCTAACTAATGTTTCGAGATATGAAACTGTTGATAATGAGCTTGATCTCTTCATGTGCATCTTATCAATGAACTTGGGAAATTTGTATTGCTGTATTTCGAAAACAGACGTAAAATGCAGTAAGATTGAAGAAAAACGTCTCATATTGTTTATTCATATTCTTCTTCCAGAAAAATGTCCACGACTTTCTTATCATTAAAATAGTGCCAATAGTCTTTGACGAACTCCTTTCCCACATCTGTTCTACATCCTCGATCATTCACAATGCACGATGGTTTTATTCCCATTCTAGTACTCATTTCCTCTATGAAAAGGTAAATTTTACTATCTTTAGTCCATTTGCGAATCAAATCCAGACATTGGCACTGAAGAGGGTTGTTTGTGAAAGACAGAATTATCAGCTTATTCAGAGGCTGTGAAAGAAAAGCAAGTAATAATAGATATAGTGCAAACTATACGGTGATACTTACACTGTTGCTGCTGAGAATCTGTCCAGTTTCTTCTTGCCATCCAGGAATCCGGAAGAATGGCATGTTGTTGTGATCGAGGGATAAAAACTTTAACCTTGTGGATTCAAAGGCATTTCTGGGCAGTTGAAATATCAGATTATTTGACAAATTTAATTCTGATAGATTCGTCATTCGATTGAAAGCTCCTTCAGATACCGTGCTAATGTCATTGTACATCAAATTCAAATAAACCACTTTAGTAAGTCGTATGAAGTCATTTGCGCCGATTTTCCTTATCTTATTGTACATCAAATTTATTTTCCGTAGTTCCAAATCTTCAGAAGCATCGAAGATGTTTGTTGTAGTTATAAAATTGTTCGTAAGTCTTAAGTCCTGAATATTCTTAAAGATGTCTGCTATGAAGAATGAATCGATGATGCGAATATTACAGAATATACAGGAGAAATACTCAGCATTGCGCATTGTTCCTCTACTTTCCAAGTACAGTATTTTGTTGAAATCAAGTGTCAGGTGAATCCTATTGGATTCCGGTAATTTGACATCACTCAGCGTTCTTATGCTGGAGCTAATTAGATTCACCTTTTCGAGATCTTTCAAATCTCTCAAGTCGATGGAGTCCATGAGGTTCCGAGCGAGGCCGATTTCCATCAGTTTTGGACTCGATACAAACATATCTGCTGTCACTGTGATCAGTTGATTGTCCTTAAGGCTGATAGATGTTAATTCCGGAGTGTCCAAACTCGATCCCTCGAATGATATAATCCTGTTTCCATCGAAGTTTAAACGCATCAGTGTCTCACTTTCAATATTGAACTGAAAGATGTGATTGTTCTGCATATCGAGAGCCAATATTTCTGGTAAATTTTTTGTAGTAAATCTCACTGTCCTTATTCGGTTGCTAGACAAGTCAAAATTCACCAGATCAGGCAATGTGTAGTCGCTAAACTCGATCTGTGTTAAGAAATTTTTTCCCAAAAACAACGTATGAACTTTCATCTCGTCAGATGTCCGAAAAGTCTTAATATCAATTGCTGTTAAGTGATTTCGCCGAAGGTCTATTCTCATTAGAGCATTCATTCCGGAGAAACAATCCGTGCTGAGACTAAGTATATGAGTATTGGCAAAATTTATGTATTTTGCTGCTGTAAATTTTTGAAACATCGGCTCTTCACACAGAAAAACTTTGCCAATTTGATGGTGATCGTACTCTTCTAATGACTCTTCACTTGAAGTCTCTGGCTTTGGCTTCCCCGTCACTCGAACCACTTCTTGTTGTTCTGGATTTGAAGAATTCAGCATTTCATCAAATGTACTATAAACATTCTCTTTATAATATGATTCCTTCGATGACACAGTGAAGGAAAAATACGTGAACAACACTACAAAACTACAGAACAACATCTTAGATGTGTTGCCTTCCGATGTCTTTCACAGAATGGCGATCATTACGAAAGCTATCAGTTTTCTTAGTAGAAACATTTGCATGTCGAAAAAATATTGATAACACTCTCAGTTGATACGCAGTGATTATTTAATACAATATGCAACTTATCAGAGCAATTTCACAATTGCATTCAGCTTATAAGTATTCCTTATTATAGTAAAGGTCTATAGTTTGCATATAGTTAAACAAATACCAGTAGTTCTTAATGAAGTCTATTCCAACGTCTGTTCTGCACATTCGATTATACGCTATGCAAGCGGGATTGACACCTTTTCTCACGTTATCATCATCTATCTTGAGAAAAATATCTGAATTTCCGGCCCATTTGCGAATCAAGTCGACGCATTGACACTGAAGAGGGTTGTTCGCGATGTACAGAACTTTCAAGTTGCACAAAGACTACAAAATATGAGTCAGTATAGCATCTGAAAGAAGTGCAAAAATTACTTACGCTGTTATTGCTGAGGATTTCTCCTGTGTCTTCTTGCCATCCAGGAATCCGTAAGAACGGCAAATTGTTATTTTGCACATAAAGAATGATCAAGTTTGGTGTAGCTTCGAAGAGTCTTTCGGGCAGTTTGAAAATTAGATTATTTGATATGGCGAACATTTCAAGTTTTTCCATTCCGTCCAAAGATCCTTCAGCAATAGAATTAATGTCATTGTAGCTCAAATCTAAGGTTCTCACATTGGTGAGGCGTGAGAAGTCATCCTTGTTAATTTTCCTAATATAATTGTGCATTAAATGCACCACTTTGAGATCCAAGTCTTCCTTCGCATTGAATATGTTTGCAGTGGTCAAATGATTGTGAGAAAGCCTTAAATACTTGATATTCCTAAAAGTATTGGCAATATAGAATGGTTCCATAGAATGAATATTGCACACTTTGCATGTGAAATACTCAACGTTATCCACTGACTTATTACTATCTAAACAGAAAGTTATAGTATAATCAAGGTTCAAGTGAATATCTGAGGATGTTGGAAGACTGATATTATCCATTGATGTTATTTCTGAGTTAATTAACTCTATTCTTTGAATATTGGTTAACTCTCTTAAATTAAAAGACTGCAAAGGATTTCTATTGAGCCAAATAGACATCAATTTGGGACTACTTAAGAACCAGTCAGGTGTTATGGTAATTAGGCGATTATCCCTCAAATCTATTTCTATCAGTTCCGGTGCATCTAAACTCGATCCTTCGAGTGATTTAATCCGATTCTTAGACAAATCTATATGTTTCAGCATTTGACTTTCAATATTGAATTGAAAAATGTGATTTCCCCACAAACGCAATTGCTTAATTACTGGTAAATTTAGTGAAGAAAACGTCACACTTTTGAGTCGATTCTCAGATAAGTCAAAATTTTCCAATTCGGGCAATGTTATGTTACATAAATCAATCTCGGTTAGATAATTTCCTCTCAAATACAGTGTATTTATTTTCATCTCCTCAGAACTTCTAAAAGTTCTCAAATTAACATTTGTTAATAGGTTCCAGTTTAGATTAATCTCATTTAGAGCGTTCATTCCTGAGAAACAATCACTAGAGAGACTGAATATGCGAGTATTTTCAAAGTTGGCAGTCAACACTGATGAGAATTTTTTAAATATCGGCCCATCACACTTGAAAACCGAATCTTGCAATCCTGACACAAGGATAACTTCTTGCACCTCAGAATCAGTAGAATTCAGCAATTCGTCAAATGTGCCGTAGAGACGCTCTGTTGCTGAGTAATGTATTTCTTTTGATTGCACAATAAAGAAGAAATGCGTAAATAACACTGCAAAACAACTGAACGACATCTTAAGATGTGCTGCGACTCCGAATGTCTGTCACACAATGAAGATCACTCTACAAAATCTGCAATATGCAATGGGAATTCCTATCGCGGACAAACAAGCAAGGGTCAATTGATAATTAATTTACGTGATAAGCGATTAAAAATTATACAGAGCTGGATTTACATAAGATGGAAATTCTTTGCAATATTCTTCTTGCAAAGCAAAGCCTTTTAAGTACAACTTTACGTCTGCTTGAAGAGTGACAATATATCAGCAAGTGAAATTAGAGATAAGGTTGCGATGTGAAAAATCTTAGTACAGAAAATCATGAAGTACAATGTAAGAAAAGAGAGTGTTCTTCCAATTCTCGTTGCTGCATTTTGCCTCAAAAGTAGGTATTTTCATCGAATCAATGATTTGAGAGTTTTAAAATATTATGTAATTATTTATCATCTCCTCTATTCAAAGTCAAAGTGACTGCTTTTAAATCCCACCGGCGTCTTCACCCCTTGTCAAAGTCCCATCCCGACTATCTGAAGGCAAACATCGATGCCACCGATTATTTATTCTTCCTCCACAGTCGGCTCGATAGAAGCTGATGTGCGCCTCTGAAATTCCCCAGATTACAGTATTGACTTGCGTGTGTCGCCGTCATAGTTGAATCCATCGGGCGCGATAGGCAAATCTCTGGGCCCAGGAATGCCTACCTGTTGCTTCACGTGACGGTCCCACGCAGAGGCAGCACAAGCAGACACACACACAGAGATGAGCGTCCACACGACAATTACGAGTGAAGGACTGCACTTTTTCCCATCGCCTCCATTAGCGCTCGTGCCTCTGTAGCGTGCGCACCGAACGGAAGCGTACGATCAGTCGTGCTCAGAAGCACACGAACCGCTCTCGTGGTAACATTCAACGCCCAGCCACTGGCACAGTGCCGTCAGTCGAGCCAGAGACCTCGGTGGAGACGGATCGTCGGTGATCTCAGTGATCTCAAGTGGTTTTTGGGAGTGAGCGTACGCGGTGAAGTGATATTCCAAGATTTCTGGGAATCGCAACAAAGTGACTGACCAAGTGAGCGTGACAATGGTGACAGGAATAGGGAGCGTGTCGGGGGCCCAGGGAGCCCAAGGAGGTGTGATAAGTGGTGTGGCGATCCCATCGGTTCATCCGGCGGAGCCGCCAAAGCGGCCCAGTGACAACCGACGGGTGAGTCAAGAAATCAGTATGACTAAAATCTTAATATTTCAACAAGTGCGCTTGCAACAAACACCCAATGACGACAGTGCGCTAATAGACTTTAATTGCCACTCCACGTGCCTGCGATTATTTTTGCATGCCAGACACAATAGCCTCATATACTTTTCATTGACGTCTGATGTTCGCGGGGAGCAAAAAATCGCGCATAAATTGTGAACAATCTCCAGTGATAGCGAAAACGTGACGGGATATGGGCGGGGGAGTGAATCTAAAATTGCGGCTCGTGACACCCTCTCACGTCCTCATACGTGCTCCCACACACAGAAATAGCCCACAAGATCGCGATCACGCACTGTGGGAAAAAATACCACGCGAATGGCTGTGAGTCAGGGGCCAGGAAGACCCACACGCGACAGCGCGCCCACCGCTGATTTTCTCTGCTCTTGGATCATTTTCAAATCCGCAATCGAGTGATCGAGCATGACTGCGAGATGTAATTTGGGATAGCGCGACGTCTGATTTATTTTCGGAGAGCATTTAGGCGAGAGAGAAGTGATCATCTTTAATTGAGCTCATGAAGACAGCGTAATTTATTGTCGGGTGTCTTTATTAAATATCTGGGATTGTCTGGTGGTTTGAGATAATAAACAAGGAGGTTTAGTTGACAAAGTGAAGGAGAAAAAAAAACCATGCACGGGTTTGCTTTGCCACAGCGTCTGTCGATCATTTCGGATTATGAACTGTTGGCACGGCATTTGCAATGATAATTCGTCTGGGCAAAAGTGGAAGCACGTGCCCAGCGATCACAAGTCCGATCAGTTTAGTCAGCCCGGAGTGGGCAATTGCGTCACCTGTCGATGGAAACTATAAGGCAATTACGCGGGATTGCGCACGGCGGGGTTTTTACCAGGCCCTGATAATAGCCCACTTGATATCAATCAGGCGCGACTTGAGAATTTTTTACCTTTTGAGGTATTTTTTGATAACACCCCGAGAAGTGATTAAGCATTCCTCCTCACGTGAACCTTTACTCGGGAAGACGCCAGGAGAGCTTGAAATTTTGGAGTTCAGTCGAAAAATCAGTGGATTGTGGCCCACGCCACAGCTTCACTGTGTACAATAATGAAGCCGTACAAATTAAAATAATCGCAAGCGTATCGATGTGGATCGAGGGGTATCGATATGAACTCTGCCCATTTATAATGAGACCCGTGACGTGAGGATGTCGAGGTGAAACTAATGGTCAACCAACCAAAAAAAGAAGAGAGGCTCTGAAGTGCGTTGATTATTTTGCAGCAGTGCTGCTCCCTTTTATCGCTTATTTGGCACCGGAAATTCAGATTCATGGCACTGTGACTGAGAGCCACCCTTTTTTCCTCATTTGCAGAGCAATAAACCCATCATGGAGAAGAGGCGGCGGGCGAGGATCAACAATTGCTTGAATGAGCTCAAGACACTGATTCTGGATGCCACCAAGAAAGACGTAAGTCGCAATTTTTCAAACACACTAATGAGTGCTCTTCTGAATATGCACAGAGCATAAGATCGTGCGATCATGACAATTTCTAGAATTCCAATGAAGTCATTCATAACGACGATTGCAACGCAGTGATTGCTGATAAGATATTCACAATATTTATTTAACGATTAATATGTTTAAAGATTACTTGTACTGTTATAATTTATATCAGTACTGGAAGAGCACTTCACCTTAATTTTTTTTCAAATGTTTATTGCTAAATTTAGAAGTCCCTATTGCGCGTTAAATTACAAATGATCAATACATTTAATGTATTGGTCTCTGTATGTCGAAAATACTGTTATATGATGTTAACAGTAGCTTTTTTCTTCAGCCCGCGAGGCATTCTAAGCTGGAGAAAGCGGATATTTTGGAGAAGACTGTTAAGCACTTGCAAGAACTGCAGAGACAGCAGATGATCCTTTCGCAAGCCACAGATCCTAGCGTCCTTAACAAATTCAAGGCAGGATTCACTGAGTGTGCCAATGAGGTTCGTCGCTTTCCTGATATTGATGTAGGTGTGAAAAGACGGCTACTGCAGCATCTCAGTCTCTGCATCAATGGCGCCAAGACAGAAACTGAAACACCCGCAATTGCCCAGAATACCACAGTTCAGGTGCATATCTTACCCTCACCGCCTAGCAGTCCTGAACAAGAAGCACCGCAGCATCATGTTACTATGACCTCGAATGGATATTTCCTGGTTAATGGGTCAGGGAGTGGAATTCAATTGATTCCTACAAAACTCGCGAATGGGAACATCGCCTTCATGTTGCCGCAAACCATGCCATCGAATCCCGTGCCTATGCTGATCCCCATCCCAACTAGGACAGCCTCAACGTCTTCAGCGGCGTCCAATACCTCCTCTAATGGCGTGTCGAGGGACAGTATGACTTCACCCACCTACTATCAGCCCCTCTCGCCCGCCAACAGCTACGAGCCCGACCTCAAGGCGCCCTCACCGGGTCCCGCGAGGTCACCAGACGCCAGCCCGGCGCCCCTAGCCCTCGTGATGCGCAAGAGCTGCGACAGCCCGCCTGAAGACGAGAAGCTCTGGCGGCCCTGGTGAGTGTGGGAGATTGGCGTCTATATTGAGTCGGTGAGCGGCTATAAATTACCCGCGATCACGCGGCAGGCCGATCGAAAATATCAACTGGGTTCAATGAGATCGTCGTCTCACCTCGCTCAGCTATTTGCAGACACTGCATGTCCCCCGCAATTCGCGGGCGGAGATCAGCCAGAGCATGGGAGAAGTCACCAAGGAGACGCTGTATCGCACACAAGTGAGAAAACACACTGAACATATTCAAATTTTAATCAAAACTTAGTACTGTTATATTTTATATCGCTACTGAAGAAGCACCTAACTACAGATTTTGTATTAGTGTTTGACAAATTTATAATTCCTCTTTTGATTGTAAATCACAATATGATTGATAACTGTGGAATTTTATCACGCATCAATCTGTAAAACTGTTATACCGCGCAAATTAGCAATTTTCTCACCCTTTCCCAATGCAAGAGAGGCAGAAAAGTCAAGATTATCATCGGTAAGACCATCCACGAGTCAGAACATCAAGTTTTTTTTATGAGAATCTCAAACCTGGTGATCGAGTGATTGTTATTCAATAGCCCCAGAGTGAGAATCACGCGCGTGTTTCTTGTGCATACTTAATGAATAAACAATTTCCGTATGTGCAAACGTGAGGCAAAAATTTATTCACCTCCCCAAATGAATAATGCTTATGGACGATGGCGCGTCTTTGTTGTCGCTGACTGCCAAAATGCACACGCGCGATGTGTTGAGGAAAAAAGAGCGCAAAATGAGACCTTCTGAGAGTGCTGAAAAGACGCGCAGAATGAGACACACAATTGCAAGCCATGCGCGATTTAGCATTGTTGGTGTGTTCGGTGTTGACCAGAGGATCGCATCGCCACAAATATAGTCACTCAATATCACGTGTATCGAGCGCGCGATCATTAACGCGCCTCTTGCCAAGGCGGGGGGAATTAAAAATAGACGGCACGAGGCGACCACGAATCATTAGATCATTCAAAATAAATTAACACACGCTCAATCCATTATTTCTCACTGTCACAAAAGCCAAGAAGGATGGATTCCTCGTGGCGCATGGGAACGCTTTTTGCCCACAATCGACTTCTTTCGCCTTTCAAAAGACTCCCCTGCACTCGTGCTTTGTCATGTGGCATGAGATAAAAAGGCCGCAGGTTCACATGATCGCGCAGACAGAGGTGATCTTTATACGTTTCTTTTTGGCCTGAAAGAGTGCTTTTGTCGATGATTTTTTTTCTGACAAATGATCTCACACGCGGCATTCAAAATCGATCATGTGTGATCGTGCAGAGAGAATTTGGGCAACACAATGCGTGACAAATTGCAGATAATTTGCCTGGAGGTGGGAAACTTTGACTGTTGTTTATCCCAAAATCACGATGCGTAGAGACAAAGTTTGACTGTTATAATTTAGAACAGTAGCAGAGTTAACTTTGAGAATCTGCCATAGTTTATCTCTGAAAATAATCACACATTTGCAATGTGGTTTTCGCGCGCAATTGGTGTGAAGATCAGTCAAGGATGCGCCCGAAATGGACGCGATCCCACCCACGTCTGTCCCTGCCCGTCGTCATGCCAGTGTAGCCGCAGGGAAATTTCTGCCAGCGAGAATTGCTGGTCGCGAGGTGGCACTTAAGTGGCTGTGATTGCAATAAAATGCGAATCACCGCATGAAAATCGTCACGACGGCGGTGAGGAGTTAAACTTATGGACATTTATATGGTGTGACAATGTGAAATATTGGGCATGAGAGTCCAAAGCTGCGTGTGCGACTTTGAAATGTTAATCTTGGCCTTTTCTGCCTTCGCTCTTCTTATGGTTCTTTCACTGCAAGTCTTGATGCGATACGTGAGAATTTTCTCAATTGACAACATAACATATATTTTTTTTATATCTCAACCCTCAAAAAGAGATGTAAAGCACACGATTTTAACTTCTGAGAAGGCAAAAGCTGTGAATAAAGATAAAAATACATACATTTTAGGTATAAGATAACCATTATTATAATGATAATCCCAATATTTGTAAGGTTCACCTTATTTTGACTACACATTATGTAGAGAGTAACTTTATTAATTAAATATTTTTTACTTTTTACTGTTTATCACCCTAAACAAACATACTTGCGATAAGGTAACTTCTAAGAAATTTCTTTACTTTAAGTCTTATATAAATAATCTTGTAAGTGATTGATTTTATCTGATAAGCACATATTGAGTAACAAGATGAATTTACTCTGTAAATACTTAACATCTCTAAGGTTCAACAGAGCATAACAATTGCGAATGTTTGAAAGTGAAAATTGCCCTCCCAACTGTAAAAACGACTTAATCACAAGAGTCTTCCAATAGAACAATCATCGCAGATGAGAAAAGAAGAAAATAGAGCAAAATAGAGCCACAAACACTTTGCAAAAATGTGTGCGCATGAAAATATGTGGAATAAAATACAGAGATTATCTGGTGGAAAAATATCAAGTGTTTAATTTTGCCATCCAAACTCGCGTGGTTTAATCTTTTGGTGTGTTTGTGCCAAAAACTTTCCACACTGAGCATTCGAGATGTTGCGCCAAAGCGGAATATTGTAATCAATTTCACGGCGGCATTCATAGAGGAGGCGCTAATCAACTTCACACCAAAGGTGGGTATTTAAAATATATGTCCAAAATGCTACTGATCAGCCCCTAGAATTCTCAAGCCAACAATACAAATTGGCCGTCTGACGCCAGCGAAACCAGCAAAGCGAGCATTCATGTTGTTAGTGATTAGATAATTATACGCGGCAGTGTATCTCGTCGGCATGACGTCAATTGCACTATTGGCTCAGCGGTGAGCGAGTTGAGTGCAAAAACACTGGGAACGCAGAAAAAAAGTGTATCAGCAAAGCCGGAGGCTCTCGAAGTAGACAAGAAACGACACTATCAGGCCGCGATTCCCATGGCAAATCTTTTCACCTGTCGATGGAAAATTCACGAATTAAAATAACAACCGCATTACAGCTAATTCAATTTTGCGGCCGGAATATCTGTGCAAATTGCCCTAATTTGTCGTCAAAACACTTCCAAAGACGCGAGGCATCAGAACTCAATGGGTGAGTTGGGCAAAAAGCAGTGGACAGTAAATAAGACAAACACCATTAATAGCCAAAATAGCAGAGTCGGTGGAATTTTTTGAGTCATTTGACAAATTGGTAGTCAATTAGAGATGACAGAGGCTCTTCTTGTGATGTTTCAGGTGCTTTTTTGCGCACCTAAGATGCAAGAAGAGCAGAATTGACGTCACTGATTGCTCAAAGTCTTTTTTAGTCCCACTGACAAGCTTTAAGGATTTTCATTGACTTACCGCGATAATTTCCCTTCCTTTTGTACAAAGTGTCTCAATTGTATTTAATAATATTTTTTTTACTATATAATCAACAAAATTCCTGAAATATATGTGGCGTATTTACACCAAAAGGATAACAAGAAAGCAACGCTAAATATGACAATTTCTTTTTATTAAAAGTGTTCCGTTGCCAAAGTGACAAATATATTTAGACATAAAGAGTGAGAATCAGTGCAATCAAGACTATTTCTTTGAGTATGATTTTAACAAATTTTCATGTGTAAGTTTGATTTTTATTCTCAAGTGAACGTGTAGAGAATTGCGCAGTACGAAATGGACATTTTGATCACCTGAAATAGCATAAGTAAGTTCACATCGTACATATCAGCTGCTCTCAATCCAAAAGGCTTATTAGTCGCATACATCATAAGAAGGAGAAGCTTCTGATCGCCGGCCTCCAATTCATACCACTTTGTTAAATACAAATCAATTGCAAACTTTTCGGTTTTCGCGAAAATAAACTCGCCGAAAATGCAAAGGGTGGCCAATTGAAAGAAGATGACACCAGCGATGTAGTAAAAGAAAATCTGATGAGTCGCTCCAATGATGAAAAAGATAAGCATAACAAGCCAAACATCACATGCAAATTGTGCTGTGAGACCATAATAGTAAGCTCGCGTGAATATGCCGAATTTTTGCGTGATTTCGCAGTGAAATTTGTAAATTGATCTTATAAAGTGAGGGTGTCTCTCAAGAAATTGAGAGTCGTCGAGACATTTTATCATGTCTCTCAGGATGTTCATGGCCTCGACGAAGTAGAATCCAATAGAGATTACAATGTAGTCCGTGAGACTGACTTCGAGGACAGGTATTGTGGTTAGAATAAGTTGGTTAATGTTGAATATGAGGAGAAATTCTTTAGCAGTTGCCACCAAACCAGGAATAACGAGAAGTGGTTGATCAGAAAGCATAAAATGTGTCAAGCAGAAAGCTTCAGCTCCAAAGTACATCGGCAAAAGGAATCTGCAATTTAGGACAGCATTCAATTCTCAAATAGATTGTCAGACTTGGAAAAGTGACCTTTTCAGGATTTTTGTGATGAAGAAGCCTGTCTTGAGGTGTTTTTTCACTGCTTTTGCGACGATATCAATGTCTTGAACACGATGAAGTTGTCCAATCCAAAGTAGAAGCTCATTCAGTTCCTCACCAGCGAAAAGTGTACACACAGTTTTTGTCAGTATGTGGGAAATTCCTGTACCGAGCATCATGCTCATGACCATTTGCATAAGAGTTGCATTAGGATTTAGAACACCATTGAAAGTGCAAATTACAGTAAAGATGCCAATAATTGGCAGAAGAACTTTTCCCGAGCCATTCAGTGACTCTCTTTTAAATACAGATCCTGTCATGATTTTAAGACCTCGTCTAATTGTAGCTTCAAAGCTCAAATATTCTGAATAGCACTCAATATAGTCCTCCATGATGTCTTAACTACACTGTGGTACAATTTCGTGTCTTGTTGACTTTATATTGGTTTGGACATTGACATAATTGAGTAATATCCATAGTTAAATCTTATTATCCTATAAATGATCCCATAAAATATTGATTTCTTTGATTGGATAATAGCTTTATTGAACTATTTCCAAGAAGTTTCAATACCAGAAGAAGCGTCGCGAAATAAGTGTGACACATGCAATCTACACCAATATTACATTATATATTTATATGTAAATTGACTGAAACCTTGGTTTAGGGCTGGCAGAATGCACAGCTCTATTTGTGGTTGCGCAAGAAAATGAATGTCGGAACATTCAATATGCAAAGGGAAGTTTAAAACGTGAAAAGGGCAATACAAAAATGTGAAGAGATTTTTGTGTCGTGACATTTACCATTAATCAATATACAAGGAAGGAAACAATAAGAGATATCAACAATCAGTTTCCTTTATAATTTGAATTTAACTGCAAATCGAGTCTGTCACGTATAAAGTAGGACGAAAATCTTTGCTCCCATAAGCTATAGCATTGTTCGTCGCTGTCCCTATTAAAATATTAATAGTTCACTTACTTAGAAGGGTTTGTGGACAATTGAGAAGCAGTTTAAGATCAACACTTGGTCAGGATGGAAGCACACAAGGAAACCCTGACGAAAAGTTTTCAGTACTTTCATTTCGCTTTCTCATGCTTGTTCTGTGAGTTTCTGCCCAGAATCAATAAGAAATACTTGTGGAGATATGCAAATCTGATCAGACTGTGCGTTCATCCACTGCTTCTGGGCAACTGTGGCTGGTGGTTAATTCAGGAGTTACTGAAAGCGGAAATGGCTGCAAAACAAGTGGAGATGACTTACTTAGTGATGTTTTTGGGGGCAGTTTATCAGAGTTTCTGGAAGTATTCTACAATTCTGTCGAGTAATGATGAACTGAATAAAATCAAACAGTTCATGAGAGAGATGCAGACCTCAATGAAAGAGAACGATATGATATCCAACATCAGGAAGCGACATTTGCCGAAAACATTAAAAACCACTATGAAGTTTGTCAGGTAATTATTAAACCACATTTCGTCTGTCTTCAATCGAATCCTTTAAAACTGTCCCAGATCTCTAAATTTCACACTTACTAGTTAGAAAGTAGAGCGGATAATAAACTCCATTCTTTGGCTTTCAGGATCCACGTGACAACGCCTGTGCTTGGTTCAATCTTTACATGCTTCACGAACTACTACATAACCAAAACTATTCTTATGTATTCTACACCCTTTCTAAATCATTGGCTGGACATTTCCATTCAATTTATAACGTTGACCTCGTTGAACATTGTGGTTGTGGCCTCAGATTGCGTCCTGATCATCATAGTGGGCTTTCTTGTGGGTGAATTGAAGACCATCAGCGATTTGGCGTCCAAAATAACAGAAGAAGAGATGATTTTGAAGGATATTTATAAGATGCACATAAGAATTCATGAGATTTTAGACGTCTTCAGGAAAGTTTTCTGTCAACTCAGTCTCCAAATGATCTGCTCAAATTTTATGATGCTTTGCTCATATTTCTACATGATGAGATACTTATCCATTTCCATAGCCACGGTCGTCGGAATGCTTGCCATCACCTTTCAATTGATCATTGTCTGCTTCATTGGCCAAGTGCTGCTGAGCAGTACTGAAGAAGTGGCAGATGCGCTCTTGCAGACCCCATGGGATGAATTGAGTCTGCAGGAACAGAAGACTTTTCTCCTCATCCTACAAATGGCGCAGAGGCCTAAAGGAATCGACGCGGGAGGAGTGACAGTCATATCTGCAAACACTCTTGTTCAAGTCACGAAGACCTCAATGTCTTTTGTGGCTTTCATATATACAGTCATCAATTAGGAACTAAAAAGAACTTTTGGTACAATATTTATCAATTTAGGTACTACACTGAGCAACACGAAAGAATAATGCCTGAAACTCTCATATTTTTGATTAACACATAATATATATGTACGACAGACTAACAACACATATTCTAATTATTTGATAAATCAGTTTGACGTTGCTTTGTTCTTAATTGAAACTTGCTTGAGATCTTCGCGCATTTCTCTCATGAATTTTCTGAAAATGTAATTTGCACTGACGAAATCGTTTAGCTGTCCTAGGCAATAAATACAGCAAAACTTAGCACAAATCAAGATGTGTTGTCAATGGGTACAAAGGAGAGTCCGCTTCTGTCCCCTTTCTTCTGCTCGCACTTGAGTGAAGACATTCTTCACAGCCATATGTCAATATTTATAAATCGATCGATATCGTTGTCTGTGTCTACCAATTCCTTTCTTTCAGCATTGTAGAGCTTTCCTGTATCTTAAATGAATGTATCTATTTTATGACATAATTACGCAAATATTGTGGTAAATTCTTGTAATTCGAAGGCGAAATTCCTGGGTGTGTCTGATGGCAAACGGTTCTTGTGGTTTTGCTGTGGAAAATTTCCTTGGACGGTCAATAGACAATTTTCACCAAATTATTCATTTGGCACATCACTTTTATTATCGCCTCGCCCGTCTAATTATCGTCGAATCTCTGTCGTCCAGTTCGTGGCCGCCGTGGTGCTAAGTGGGCATTTGAAGAGAGATGATTGTGTGACTCCTTTTGCATGCGGGAAGGCCATAAAATTATGATGAATCCACTGCGTCACACTTCAGCGTGCTAATTAACCCATCACACTCAGGCGCAAGACATCAATTCTCCCATTCAACACTTGGCCACTGGACAGAAGTTTGCATTAAAAATGATATTCTAATTCAACTGAAGATAATCGTGATTGGGACATTTTCCCCACAGCGCGACAATGCGCGATGTTTTACTATTTTATTATCGAACTTTTTATCGCATTAATGGTGGTGTGGCGGCTTTAATTTTATTTTTATAGCCGCCAACGAGGCGTTGAGAGACTCTCTGTCACACCAAATATTTACCCATGTCGCATTGGAAGGATGTAATTGCTTTTTTGAGGAGCAAATACAGGCAGCAGAGAGCGTGATGAGTGCCATTTCGCGAGTCAGTGGCTTATCTCTTAATTTTAAGAGGCATTTGCATGTGAGTGTCGACTCATGATCTCGCGGCTCATGCCAAAAAGAGGGAAATTGATTTGTGGCCAGGCATGAATTGTTAGATTCCACGGCGACACCCAGATAATCTCTAAGGCCGACAACGCGATGGGGGAAGCAGGAGGGTGTCCACTTGAGGAAGAACGATTACCGCGTGAATGCGCAAGAGATTTAGAGAGACTATTTTGGGGACATGAGTAAATTTCCAGTGAGTGGCGAAGACACCATACCAAAAGGGGTAAAAAGCTCGCTTTATCGGCTTTTTCATTAAACAAGCGCTATAATTTTGCCTATGTTCCACCAGATAAAAGGTAAACAGTGAACAGAAAAATGGGAGAGGGGATCACGTGCTGCGCAAATGGACTTATCATGCAACACTCGCAGTGTATCTCGGCAGATCTGGAAAAATTACGGCCGGTGGCACAATGGCAAACATGCTCGCGCGAAGTCATCGTTGTCAAGATTTACCATTTCCGCACTCACGCACTTCACGACCGAGGCGAGTGCGAAGGGGTTAACAAATTTGCGAGAAATTCGCCATATGCGCGTCTCGAGGACGCACGTGCAGAGGACAATATATAGAACAACAAGTTCAAGATCGCAAAAGAATCGCGCGTGGCTTGTATTATATTACTTTTGTATAGGAAAAACTATTAGTCATGGCGACAGTGGAGTTTATACTCATTTTATTTACATTTTGACAAACAGATTTGTAAAACAGATCAATAAAGCATTTATTTGAACATGAGTTTTTCATTTTTATTATACAAACTAATGGAAAACTAGTTCTCAAGCAAACTAGACGGGGAACTTATGGTCTACAGAAACTAAAAAATTCAAGTTCCTTCGAGAATTTCTCATTTTGAGAGTGAAAATACAGACTAATTCGTCATAAAAACAATGCCCAAGTCAATCTTCAGCCCTGTTTAATCCAAAACAGCCCTAAAACTGCTGAAAAGTTCCGTTTAAACTTTTATTTTCTTGTGCTCTTTCCAATAAGCTAATTTTCGAAAATTCACCTGTATAAGATCAATTCTTTTATGGCTCATGAATGATGCCTTGACCCCACTTTTGACAATATTCCCTTGTTGCTGCGCGCAATAACACGGCGAAATCCATCAGCAATCAACGTGTGTTCTTGGTCTCAAAATGACATAGACGTGCGATGGCGATCGCACGTTCCACGCCGTGTTGTGTCGCACCTCGCGCCAAGATTAATATCGCGGCCCGGAGTTTGATTGCAGTCAGCCCAATGGGTTCGAAATTGATATCAATTTTATAATTATCGGGTATAAATGTCTCTCAAGACGCCCCAGAAGATGAATGAAAGGCGCAGAAAAAACACACGGGCACCCAGAGAAACCAGATATTTCCACAGAGATTGACAGTGAAAAAAAGCGCGGGGATCAGGAAGGGAAACGTGACAAAATGACGCGAGTCACATGCTTCGTCAGTATTTTGCCCGAATGAAATCACCGGAAATTTGCAACAAATTACGCAGGAGGAGGGGACAAGAGGTTGTTTTGCAAACTTTGGCACTTTTGCACGATCAGCGCGATCATATTCGAGCGATAGCGATGGAATGTCTGCAAGACAAACTCTGGCCAAATTGACGATCAATCGACGCGCGCGCGCGAGGTCTGTGATGTTCCTTCAGGCATCAATTAGGTGATCGCCGTGTTGCTGAATCACTCCCGAAGGCAATGGATAGCCTCGTGGGGGGTTCACCGAATACACAACTCACTGGACTTTGCTATCGACTGAAGACAATCTCTGCCGATAATCCAGGACCGTTTGGCAGGTTTGTAAGCAGTAAATTGATGGTTAGGCGATGGCAAAGGTAAGATCGAGTTGTCTGCCTTACCTATTGCGTGACATCAAGTATTTTTAATTAACTAATTAATAATTGATCGCGATCGTGAAGAGCCATGATCGATGGGTCAAGTGATGCCTCTCGGGATGGTGGAGAGCCTCAATTGGGTCATATATCACTTACAACAGGTGGCACACGCTTTCCCTCCGTTCGACGCACCCACGAAAGCCATAAAATCTGACCCAATAAAAGAATGCGTTATCAGCAGTCGCGGAGTGCCTTATCAGGGCGCTGCTTAGCTCACTGTGTATCCAAACAACCATAAAAATCACTATACGTGAACGTGTCTCTGGCAACATTTTTTTTTTACTTTTTTATTCCGCACAAACAACCCGTGATAAGCGTCGATATTGAATTTGTGCCAATTCGTCGGCTTAGTCACACGATCGCAGATCCTTCACATGGCATCCTTCAGCAACCCCAAGGATTTCCCCTATCTTGAGGTGTGGTGATAAGGAAGCCAATCACTCCAGAGGCTTTTCGTGTCACTCTCAAGGAGGACAGAAATTGAATGATTCTCCCAGAGATAATGCAAGTGATCTTGAGCTGTCTCGTAGGAGTAACTTTCCATATGATCTCTTCCGAAGTTAAGCTATAATTAGACTCTCACTTTGATACTCACTCTCTTGTGAATCTAATCTAGTTTAAGCAGTTCAATAGCATGTCAATATGACCATAAAAAAGCTCTTAAAAATTCCCATTACCGCCATTAAAGATGAATGGCTGGGACTCATGGGAATTTCACAAAACATCTCATGATGCCTTATCTGCGTTCTTGATTCCAATTGTCCCCTGATGGTCTTGGCAGAATATCGCTCTCGAGTGCCATTCGAGTCATTAATCTTTTCGTGTGGATCGCGATAAGACCCCCAAATTGCTCAGCCCTGCCGGCGATTCACGAAGGGGTGAAGCCTTAATCTCCAGTCCCTGCATTTCGTGATCTTCTCCCACGGAGGAGTCCAAAATCGATTCCGAGAGACTGAAATCACTTCTTTTTGGGGGTCTGGCTCAAAGAGTGAGAGGAGAAATGTGTGGGCCACACAAGTTGGAAGACTTCCTCCGTATTTTGTGGCTGCTGTTTTGCCCACAAGTTACAAAGTCTCAATCTGGAGCTGTAATTTATTTCGTTTCGCTGAAAACACGGTCAGTTTTTTACCATCTCCGTCTCTGCTTTTTTGTCTTCACAATGTCTAGCATAATTACTCTGATCTGTGAAGTTTATCGGATGAATTGGTAAACTGCCGGGGCGTGTGGGTTCGCCGAGGGGTCAATTCCTCAGAAATATATACACAGAGCGTACAGAGTCGTGATTGAAGATGGGGGTCCCTCGTGAGACTGATTGGGAGACAGATAAAGACTATTGTCATGTGCATTCACAGATTTATTTATATTGAAAAAAGCAGGGTGGAAAAATTTTCTAAACGTATTCTCTATTTAATACGTAAGACGAGTTGTCTATATCCCATGATTGTCATTACGACGTCTTAAGACACTCTACGACGATCCATCGTTGTTCATTAATGTGGTCTAGCATAAATTTATAATGCAATATAGTGTGCAAAAGTCAGCACGTGCTGCTGACCCCTCGACTTAATTCGCAATCTCGCGTCTGACTATCTGTGTGGCGTCATTCGTTGAGATTGAAATCCTGCCGGGCTGCCCGGCTCCATGGGTTTATCAGGTGGCCGGCAAATTGGCCGTCTCGGGATCGCCCTGGCCGCGGGCCACGAGACGTGATTACGCCAGAGACAGCGGGTCCGGTTCTTATCACCCTCGCTGGGTCAGCTATGTGACCCCAACGTCAGCCGCGCTGTTTTTCCCGGCGAAAAATCATCCCAAAACAGCGTGGAATCTGCGAAGAGTTGCGGCGTGAAATGGCAATTTAATTCCACGACAAGAAGACTAATGATCGCAGATCACCAAGGACTAATGCTTCAGGTTGATTTCTCAATAGAGACGGCGCACCTGCACTTGAGGGCACCTCACGAACTCGAGCCTCAACACTCTTAATGCCCCTTTTTTTTGCTATTCGCCTGCGATTCCTCCGCGGCAACACGTATTAAGACATATTTATTTAGACCACCTAACTCGAGGGATTCTTTTACCTCCTGTTTTTCACTTACAAAATCGTTAATTTCCGAAACGACCACCAATGCACTCTGGATCAGGGGCGGAGGCACGGGCGACTGA